TTTCCCAGCTACAGGTTGTAGGGACACCAGTGCCCAGCCCCAGCCACCCCACTGCCTTCCCTGCAGCCTCGCTGCTCCAGCCGCTCGCCCCTCCTTCTGGCCCATTGTGCCCTAAGACTTGGTCTTCCTCCTCCAGGGCTCAGGCTGCCTTGACTGCTAGAACCCCACTTGGGCAGCACCTCCCTGGGCAGATCAGTGCCCCAGGGTGGCCCTGAGGCACCCACACCTCTGCTGCGCTGGCCAAGGCTGCGTGACATTTCTCCACAGGCTCCTGGGTGAGCAGCTGCCTTGCGCTGCTCACTTCGTGAGGACAGGGCAAGCCTGCCTGGCAGGGGCCTTGGTTGGCTCTTGTACACGCTGGGTGAATAGGGCGCTGCTGCCCGGGCCAGACCAGCTCCTCTATTACACCTGCCTCAGAGCTTCCATGCCCAGTGGGACCCCTCTGCCCAGGGCCAGTGTGTGAGCAGAGCAGGCTAGCAGGGGGGGATGCCAGATCCCTCCCCTGATCATGGGTGGTGTGCGCATGGGTGTGTCCCATTGGACCCTGGGCCAGACAGGAGGAGAGGGAGCCCTGCAGGCCAGCCCCCCAGCACTGGGACCTGAGCTCACCTTGACCTTATCTGTAATCATCATGGCATCTTGGGACGTGACTGTCATATCCACCAGCTCCGAGCAGTAGTCATCCATGAGGTTCTGCAGCTTGTCCAGCTCTGTGGGATACCCTGCCAGCTCCTGCATTGCAAGGCACAGCTCCTGCAACTGGGCACATGGCCTGATGGTCAGGGGCTCTGGGCCAACCAGATGCTGGCCTTGTCCTGTGCCAGCTTCCCAGGCCCTTGTCCAGTTCCCTCGCGGTTCCTACAGGAACCTACCACCTCTTAGCACAGACTGTGAGAGACCTGAGGAGACAGTGATGCGTCTGACCTGCGGCCCCAGCCCCCGTAGGGCACACAGCAGGTGAGAGGAAACGTCTCAGCAGGGGCAGACAGCGTCTTCCTGGTAGCGAGTCTCCCACTGACCAGGGCCCTGCAGCCCAGAGACACTTCCATAGAGTTTGTAATGGAATGTCCCTCTGTGAGGTGACTGCCACCGGGGAGGCCCACTGCTGGGGAGTGGCTGCTGTTGGAAGTGAAACAGAGGAGCTTGAAGCTTGGTTTTGGGGCCAGAGACTCAGGCTCAAGGCCAAGGCCACCCTGACCAGTGGCTCTGGGACCTGGGGAAAGCCACTTCACCTGAGTGTCCCTATCTGTTAAAAGGTGATAGTGGCCTTCCTGGAAGGCTGCTACTGCCACGATCGGCTAGAAGGCATATGAGGCACTTAGCACAGGGTCAGGTTCACGGACGTCCAGGGTACCTCGGCTCTTAGTATTTTGTGGTGAATAACTACAATGTAGAATCTTTGCCAGTTTTTTAAGAAATGTGGGTGAACACGAGGGTTATTAAAAAACTGCCTATGTTCTGAAAACATAAGGTGTTACGGGGGTCATAATGTGCCCAGGCAAAGGAGGGCTGGACCCCAAAGTGTAGCATGGTGGGAAGGGTCGTGAGGAGCAGGGGCCCAGGAAGGAAGGCCGGGCAGGGCCTTCAGGTGAGGGTCCAGGCCCAGGGGGTCAAGGCAGCAGGGGCAGACTGGGGATGACTGTGTGCTGCCTAGCCCCAGGGGCCACGGGCGAGGTCCGGGAGCCCTGTCCCTGCCCGGGAGGAGCCCCAGAGCCTGCCACACCCTTCTCCCCAACCACTCACCTGACCATCACCCTCCTGGATGCACTGCCCTGCAGGGCTCCCCTCCCCCGGTTTCAAGATGAGGGAGTCGGGGAGCTTTCCTCACTTCCCCTGCCCTGCCTGCCAAGCTGCCCCCCTCAGCCCCCTGGCACCCACCCTCCAGCCTTCCTGTCCTGTCCTGCCCCGTCTACTGTCTGCCTCTCCTGTGGGGCCCCCTGTGAAGGGGTCTTATCTCACAGTGGGGCTCACAGCCCTGGGAGGCCTCCTCCTGCCCCTCACTGCAGGGACAGGGGCAGCTGGCTTGGAAGATGTGGGCAGCAAGCCGAGGTTAACGGCCTGCTCAGAGGTGGCTTGCCACATATGTCAGGGCACTTTCTGAGGGCGCAGGGTCCACCTCTTGCCTTCAAAGTCCAGGCAACGAAACACGACGGGGCAAAATCAAAATGCCACCAAGCCATCAGATGCGTGCGGGAAAACTCACACGGTTCTGATATGTCCCACGTGTCTCTGGAGTAGCAAGCACGCTTCTGAAAGAATGTTTTCCATGTACGGGGTGGCCCTGATCAGCTGGCGCCCAAAGCAGGGCTCTGTCCTCCTGGGGGTAATCCTGCCTGGAGGGGAGCAGCTGCAGGCTCCCCATTCTGTAGAAATCCCCGCCCTCCTCAAGCCTGGCCTGAGACCCTCCACCCTGTCCCCCATCCAGCTGGGCTTCCCCGGGTCGGGGTGCAGGTGGGGGGGTGGGGGGCCCACTTTCTTCAGATGACCCAGCAGGTCCACATACGGCAGGCGGATGTTCCGGCCTGTGGTGACCTTGATCATCGTCTTTTCGATGTTGTTTTCCAGCCGGCGGATGACCGGGGGTGGTCCCAGGGCCCGCTGAAAGCGCCTGGGGATGCCAGGAGGCCCAGAGGCCCGGCGGGAGGCTTTCTTCCAAGGCGGGGGTCTTGTTCCTCTACCCTTGCCCCCCCCACCACGGAGCCTGCCCTGCTCCGGGTCCCGCCCACGGGCCCCCAGCAGTGCCCCTGCGCCCCTCCTCCTTGGTGGCGTCGGGCTGCCCGCGTGGGCTGGCCCGCTCCAGCTGCAAGCTCCCCAGTTTCTGCCCGCGCTGCCGCACCGGGTGGATCCGCACGTTGCGCACGTTCATGCGGTACTTGCGCTTCTCCAGAGCCCCCTGGGTCAGGAGGGCACGGCCCACACGTGGGTGCGGGGCGGTCAGGGAGGGACTCGTGGCAACGCCGCAGGGACCTGGGGCTGGGAACTCGCTCTGCACTGGCTCTGCAATGACGTTTAGTGGGGTGCCCCTGCTGGGCGGGGTGAGGGTCCCTCCTGCCGCCTTACGTCCATGGTGCAGCAGCAGTGCACCAGCCTCATTGGCACGTCCTTCCCGCAGGCCTGGGAGGTGGTCCTTTGGTTCCACTGCGGAGCCATGGCAGCAGCTGTGCCAGGGGCCTAGGCTCTCTGAGTCCCCCCAGCTGGGCCCTCCAGCTACTCTCCACGGGCCTCTTCTGCCCTGTGACCTCCGGCAGGAAGACCCCAGCCCCTGGGGCTGCAGGACCGCATCCAGGCCATCCCAGCTCGGATGTGACGGGTTGTGGAGAGGGCCCGGGCCTCCCCTACAAGGCCAATGAGCCAGAGAAGCCCCTGCTGTAGGGATAGCCCAGGAAAGGGACCCCAGTTAGGCCCCCTGCCCTGCCCTCTGAGGTGGATGGTGGAGAACCTGCCCGCCAGTCTCGCTAGAGGGACTGGAGCCCATCTCCGAGATGCCCCTTGGCTCCGGAAAGTTTGGGGTCAGAGGGGAAAGGAGAGGAGGCGCCTTGGCCACCTGTGGCCACGTGGGCGTGGCTTTTCTGCACGTGCCCGCCCCGCCTCCAGCCCGCGGGCAGCAGGGAGGGGCCATGCTGATGACCTCCATGGCCAAGGCCCACTCTTGGGCCCCGCGGCGGATGTTGCTGCGCAGGAGAGCCAGTGTGGCCCTGTTCTTGACCGTCTTCTTCACTGCCTGGATCTGCAGCACCGGCAGGGCTGGGCGGCCAGGATGTGGGCCGTGAGCCTGGCCGCCACGCCATCTGGGGGGGCTCCTCTGGGGAAGGCCTGAGGGATCGTGGGCATGCCACCTCCATGCTGCCCGCCTTCATCCCTCCCTCCGGCGCCTGGGTCCTGCTCAGCCATGCCCATCTGGGCAGCTGTCACTGGGGGGCTGTGCTGGTCAGTGGGGAGGGTGAGGTAGAAGCCAGGTGTGGATAAAATGAGAGTTCCTGTGGCCAGGATTCTCACCTGGCCCTGGTTCACTGGCTCACTGCACATCTGTGGGCAATACATGGCTGTTGACTCTGTATGAAGAGCTCTGCCCAGTGCTCTGGGCGTGACACGGTGGCAGGGCTGCAAGGCTGCAGGACAGAAGAGCAGAGGCTGGAGTGGTGGCAGCAGCAGCAAGGACAGAGGCCCAGAGGACAGCTGTGTGGGAAGACTGTGCGGGCAGAGGGGTCCAGAGGCAGAGACTGGCTTGCTGCACGCAGACTCACTCTGAGTGAACGGGATTTTAGTGACTGACCTGCCACCTGGAAATAAAGTTGGGTATAACCCTTTCATTCCAAGAACGTTTTGCTGTCCATAGCACATTGAATCCATAGCAAACTTGCCCGGAGCTGAAACCCATTGGCAAGACACCAGGGGTGGGCCAGTCCCATGATCCCATTCAGACGCCCTCTGCCAAGAAAGCAGGTGGGTCCCTTTCTGATCCCTGGCCTTGGGGTCCCACCGCGCTCACACATCTTGAAGTCCCCCAGCTTCTCCTCTGCCCACCCCTGCATTGCAGGCCCCTGTGAGCCCTTCTCTCAGTTCGGGGTTGAGTGGGAAGGTGGCCACTAGCCTGTCTGCCTCGTACCGTCCCTGAGTCAAAGCTGAAGCCCTGCACTGGGGAGCCCCTTATCTCCGAGGTGGGGCTGGTCACTCCCGCGGCGGGCCTACCCCAGAGCCGTGTGACGGCCTTCAGCTCCTGGATCTCGTCCACATCCGCCTAGCTGTGCATCTTCACGGCAGCTCTTGGGCTGCCCAGGGGCTCGCTGCACCTTGTCTGCCCTGTGCTGGGCACAGCTGCAGATCTGTTGTCTCCGGCGTCTCGGCCCGTTGTGACAGGAGCCCAGGTTCTCAATGCCTGGGGAGCCCTGGAGTTCCTGGCCTGCCCTGCCCCCACCCTCTGCCCCCAGGGAGCCTCCAGGTTGTCCACTGGACGTGCGGGTCTGTGGCTGCTCTCTACTCAGGATCCCTGGGTTCAGGGCACCTTCCTTCCACAGGGAGGGGATTTGTGGTGGTTTGGCGCTGTACCCCACACCCTCCCCATCCCCTCCACACCCCGAGGCTGCCCGGGTGACCTGGCACAAGACCTCACTGTACCATCTCCTCCTGGCCCGCGCCTGCTGCTTGGGGCCTGCCCTGCTCTGTCTCCACTTCGCTGAGTCCTTGGGTCTAGATGTCACTACTCCAGGAGGGGTCCGTTCCCCATCTCTGCTGCCCCAGCCCAAGCTTCCCTTTGAGCCGTATGCCCCAAGCACCCATGGGACTCCAGGGGTGCACACCATGTGTGTTACTTTTTCCAACCACTCGGCATGAGTCTGCTGGGGCCGCCATGTGGGCACCAAAGGTGGAGCCTCAACTGCCCGTCTGCAGGCAGGGGGCCCACGGTCCAGGAGCTGGCAGGGCTGGCTTCTCCTGTGGCCGCTCCCTGACTGTGCAGAAGCCACCCTCTCCCGGCATCCTCATGTGGCCGCCCCTCTGTGGGTGCCGGAGTCCTGATCCCCTCTCTCCTAAGGACATCAGGCAGACTGGATCAGAGACCCCCTGGACTAGTCACCTCTTTCACAGCCCTGTCTCCAAATGCAGGCACATTCTGTGGTCCTGGGGGCTAGGGCTGCAACAGAGGGGTTTGGGGCCACAGTTCAGCCGTAACAATCGCCTTCACCCATATGCTGTTACTTAGAGGTCCTCTATGACCTCTCCCACCGATCCTTCACCCTTCTGGTCATTCCACATTTTAAAAAGCAAGCCCAGTCCCACCTGAAACTACCAGTTCACCCTCTGCACCCTGGTCCTACCCTCAAGCACTTGCCGTGGACACGACCTGCTCCCTAGCCGCCTTCTCCCAGGGCCTGAGGCAGAGCCTGCAGGGAGCCACAGTACTGGTTCTCCGGTCTGCCTCAGATACAGAACCCCTGAGCTTAAGTGGGGCACATGGCTGTCCAAGGCCGGGCTGCTTCCTTAGGTGCCTCCGCACTAGGTGTGCCCCGTGGCTTCGTTCTGACCAACGGAGCGCAAGCGGAATGGGGGAGTTAAGTGCCTCCCCCTCCTCTTCCTCCTTCCTGTTGACCGATGAAGACAAGATGGCCATGAGGCAGGAGGCCTTTACAGCAGGGGGCAGGCTGCAGGGGGTCTGGCTCTCTGACCCCCTACCAGCCCCAGACTACCCACTTGGGCTTATACATGAAAGAAAACTAAAACCCTGGCTCACTTTGGCCATGGTTATCTTGGGCTTCCTATCCCACAGATCTGCTGGGGCACAGTAGCTACTTGGTAGACATTCCTCTGAGTGACTGGCAGACGAGGGGCATGTGCTGGGCTGGGGGCGCTGCGTTCCTTCGGTGTCCCGGGGCAGCCGGCGGGAGAAGATGGCCTCTGCCTCTTTCTCCCAGCGGGTGAGGTGGGTAGTCTTGCCCACTTTCCTTGCATGTGGATAGCACTCCCGGCTAGCTCTGGGCTCCTTCCACACCACGCCTCTTCCTCCCCTGGAGAAGTGACTCAGCTGATCGTGTGTTTGGAAGGAGAGGTGGTAGGCATAGCCACTTCCTGTCCCTTGCATCTTTGTTGCCAGGCACTGATTGGCTGTACACCTTCTGCTGCTTTTCCAAGCCGTGAGTGAAGCAGGTCCCCTCTGGAGAGGTCTTGGCGGTGGTCTGGGGCCCACAGGGTCAGCAGGGGTGTCTGATTCTGGGGTCCAGTATTAGGAAGTGCCCTGACACATCCTCCAATTCCAGCCTACCAGGTGACGCATGTCTCTTGTCCCCCTGTTGCTTTTTACCAATTGCTTTAGATCTTGGGTGAGAAAACAGCATTTATTAGTCCTGCACCGCCCACAGCAGTCACTGTGACTGGTGGGTGTGGGGCCAGAAAGGGTGTGTTAGAGCACCCAAGCGGAGTGTGCACACTCCCCTCTGATCCTCTCCGGCTCAGTGCCCACCGTGCTCTCGCTGCTCCACAGAAGGCCCACCCCACCAGGGACGGCTGTCTGCAGACTCCTTCTGGGCAGGGCCCAGCTGGGGGCAGGAGCAGTTTGCACAGGCTTTGCAGACCCAGCCATGCAGCTGTGCCCACCACCCGACTGGGACACCTCAGGGTGTGGGGAGGGCCTGCGTGATGGAGAAGGCCGGCCTGGGGAGCAGAGGTGCTCTAGAGCTCCCTGGCACCAGGTCTTCTGCGCACATCTGGAAAGACAAAGGGAGAAAGCTGGAACCCCACCCTAAAGCTGTTCATGGTCCCCGCACCCACTTTACTGTGCAAACCCCAGGCCTGCACAAGAAGGCCTGAGCTCCAACGGCTAGGGTGCCACACTCCAGTGGGCACCACCCACCCAGGCCCACCCAGGCCTGCCTAGTCCCAACCCGGCCTTCGTCCTGCCTTTGGGGCTCTGGACCGTCTGGCTGCTGCATGCACTCCTGCATCCCTTCCAGGAAGTGTGTGAGGAGGCAGGCAAAGGGGAGGCCTTGTCCACCTATGCTTGGGGCGCTGGGCTGGCCTGCTTAACAGCCTGGGCACGGGAGCTACAGGTTCCCTTGTCCAGCCTGCACATCTCACCTGCGCCTGAGTCTCCGGGGAGCTTCCCCGTCTCCAGGAAGAGCCAGAGGTTGCTGCATTTCTGTGACTCCACTCGGGTCACCCAGTAGCTGGCCATGGAGCCTGCGACTGGAGGGCAGGGGGCAGGGCCAGAGGCTGAGGGGCCGGGGCCCCTGCACCTCTCAGGGAAAGGGAACCGGAGCACAGGTTCTCCTGGGCAGGTGGTGGGGTTTGGGCAGGCTCCCACAGAGACCTGGGCCACACCCCAGTGGGCAAGGATGCCTGGAATTAAAACACCCCCACCGCTACTGGGGACCCACCCCGCTGAGGATCCAGCGTTGCCTCGGCTCCTGGGGTGCATTTTAAGAGCCCCAGGCAGCCACCCTGGAGTACTCACCCACGGCCACCAGCACGTTCCACTGCAAGGAGTACGGGAACTTCCTCCGAATGAACATCTGCAGGCCGAAGGTCCCACTGGTGCCTGCCGAGATCGGGGCTCTCCATCAGCCGGCCAGTCCGCGGGGCGCACCAGGGGCCCCGCTGCCAGGCTCCCAGCACACGCTAGCAGGCGACCTGGCGCCACCTGCTGGGCAGTCAGGGCGGGATAGGAGGGGAGGTCTCCACACCCGAGGACACCTGGATCCAGCCTACCTGTGACAAAGGTGACAATGCCCTTCGTGAAGGCGAACGACTGGCACGCGGCATACTCCTCCAGTCCCTGGGTTGGGGGCGGGGGTCGAGGGGTCAGTTCCCCTCCCTCTGCCTTCACCGCTCCCCCTCCTGTCCCTCCTTTGGGCACACTCTGGCCACTGGGGAGGGGACCACTCGCCGTGACGCCCTGCGAGCCTGGACACATACCACCTGCCCCCACGCCCACCGGATGTCCCGATCCCCACAGCAAGGGGGTCCCCCCTCCCTGCCCCTCTTCCCTGACGGGAGCACCCCCACAAGCTTCCGCCCGCTCAGGTCAGTTTCCGAATCCGGGACCCGCGTCCTAGGCCGACGTTCTCACCGGGTGCTTGGCGGCCACGGTGTCGTCCACCCGGGACAGGCCCAAGTTCACCATGGCTGGCAGGGAGGGGGCCCAGGAGGCGGGTGCGGGGCCGAGCGCGGGCGGGCCGGTCTGCGCAGGCCCGGGAGGGGGCGGGGCAGGGCCGCCCACTTGGGCTCTGAGGTTGAGCGGAGGGGGCGGGGCCGAAGGGAGGGCGGGGCTTCCCCCGCCGGGCTCTGAAGTGTTGGGCGTGGGGGTAGGCGCGGCTGGGGGCAGGGTTGGCCCTGGTCGCCCCGCCTCATCTCCACGCTCGAGGACGCGAAATGGTTATTGTATTATTTGTTGGGATGGTGCTTCGCTTAAGGGATTAAACCTCTTGAAAATGACCGCGGGGTGGTGGTGATAATAATCGAGTGACTAGCAAATTCCCCAAATGCTGAAAGCCCATACTTGGTGCCAGTTAAGCACTAGGAGCTGGGGTCCCACGGAGCAGACAGGTAAACAGAACCCCGAGGGACATCAGGACACATGCGGCTGGAGGTGTGGGGTGCACCCCAGGAGCTCCTCAGAAGATGGGTCTCCGCAGAGGACCCTTAGATGTGAAATGCTCAGAATGTCCGGATCTGAGGGCAAGGGGGGAGGGTGAGCTGTGAGGTCAGGTCGCTTGCTGCGCCTTGGAGCCTGGTGGAGCGGAGGCTGGGGGTGGGCAGCGGCGGGTCCACGCGGGGATGGAAGCTCCAGCTCCACGGACATCTGGCTGTCCCGGGACGGCGTGGGGCCAGTCTTCCAAGAGCGCATGAGCTAAGGCTCAGAACGTGTCCCAGCAGTGGAGCAGACAGGGGCTCTTTAGGGTGCAGGGGTGTTTTGGGGGGCACAGGGACATTGTGAGGTGCAGGCATGCTGTGGGTTGTATGGGGTCCTTTCAGGATATGAGGGTACTATTGTGGTAAAGGAGACTGCTGGGGTACTGGGTGCTATGAGGTGCTGTTGGGGTGCAGGGGCATGTCAGGATGCATTTGGAGGCTTCACTAACAAGCCTTGACACTGGGTTGGGGGTGGAGTGGAAGAGGGAGGGGGACCAGCCTGCCTGCGGGTGCTGCCCTGAGCACAGGGGGGCGGCAGTGGGGGCCGAGGCAGCGGCTGGTGTGGGGCAGCACTGGAGGCGGTGTGGGCTCTGGTGGCCCTGGGCACTGGTGGTTCTGGGATGTCTGGGGACAGGTGAGTGGGATGTGTGAATCTAGAACCCAGGTGGATGACAGTTGGCTGTGGGCTTTGTTTCCAACAGCATTACTGAGATTCTGTGCAGGGACCGCATGTCCACCCATGCGAGTGGACGTCCAGCCGGTCTGTGTGCATTCACAAGTGTGTCATCACTGTGGTCTCCATGACATTTGCATGACACCAGAAGGAGACCCCAAAACCCCCCACACAGTTAGGCTCCTCCCAGCACCTGGTCACCACCAATCTTCTCTGTTTCTGTGGATGTACCTGTTGTGTGCATTTCACAGGGGGCCTCCGGGTGTGGCCTGTCGCTCAGCCAGCTCATCCTCGGGGGGCACCGGCAGTCCTGGGTCCCTCTTGTGCCAGATGCCCTCCGTTCTGCAGACCAATGTGCTTTGCTTCCTATTGGCAACGCTTTTGAAGCTGGGCAGCCGCGCAGTGGAGCCCACATGCAACTTAGGGTGATACTCAGGCTCTGAGACCTCCCCACCTGACCGCAGCAGGCTGGAGGCCCCTCCCAAGCCCCTTTGGAGCTTGGGATCTGCCTGCTGCCAGCTAAGGACAGCTCTCCCACTGGTGATGCCCGCTGAGGCCTGTACAGCAGCATGTGCCCCCTGAGCCCTCCAGGGAGCTGAGGCTGGCAGAGTGGGAGGTGCTCTCTGTGGGCTGAGAGCTGCCCTGCACCTCCGAGGTTCCGTGCTTGCCGAGGGGTCCCTGGGGGGGTCTGCCAGCTGCAGTTGGGTGTCCCTGCGTCTTTGCTGACCCAAGGAAGGACAGATGCCCCGCTGGGCCTGGGGGTCCCATGCATGCTGTCTTTTATTCACCTGTTGGAAAGCCTCTCCCTGGGGTGCCGGACCTGCAGCCTGGGGCCTTATCATTCCCCAGCCTTGTGGCTGCTCAGTGCAGGAGGTGGCACTTGGGGGAAGATTTTATGTGGATTTGTAGCTTACATCTATGCCTTTTGGAAATGGAGATGCAGTTTACATGCAGTAGAGCACCCCTCCCTTTGGGGTACAGGTCTGTGAGTTCAGACAGTCATCAACAGGGATGCGACCACCTAAAGGCTCTGGGTGGCCCTAGGTCATCAGTCACTCCCAAAGCCCTGAGGCTCGAGCAGCGTTCTGCCCCTGCGGACTTGCCAGTTCTAGAATGTCATAGAAAAGGAGCCGTCTCAGAGTGCTTCTCCCACACAGGCGGTGCAGCCGGGACTTACCCAGGTTATCTCGCGCATCAGGGGTTGTTCTGGTTACTCTGGAGAAGAGGCCCATTGTGGAGGGGCAGCGGCCTGCACGCATTCATCATGCTCTTGCTCATTGGCCTGTGCAGGCTCGTGGGGTGCCTTCTCGTTTCCCCTGGGCGAACCCCGAGGCGTGCGGCTGTGCAGTCGGTGGGACCCGACGTGCCTGCCTTTCCGGGCGTCGCCCCAGTCTGCGCCAGCCGGTGGCTGATGACATGGAGCACCCTCTGGTCGCTCATTTTCCACCCGGTATTTTCTTTGCTGAAGTGACTTCTAAGCTCTTTTGCTGTCCCTTTTTACTTTGCAACTGGGTTGTTTGCTTTTTTGCTATGGAGTCTTGAGAGTTCCTTACAGATTCAGGATTTAAGTTCTATATATCAGATCTGCGTTCTGTAAACATTTTCACAGAAAGGTTTTGCTTCATGCTGCCCAGGGACCCTGGGGCCTAGTTGAGAGCTGGCGCCTCCTGAAACCTGGGGGAGGAGGTGAGCAGAAGCCCTTGGCTCCTCCCCCTTCCCCACTAGGGGATGAGGGTCTTTCTCCAGCCCTGTACCCCTTCCACTCCAGAGAACTGGTAGTACTGGCCTTCCTCGGGGACCCCTGTGCCGGCCAGAGGCATCTGGGTGGTGTGCCCCAAGGCCCCGTGCTGCTCCTCAAATAGGTCTCCAGATGCTCTGTCCTGTCTGCGTGGACACAGGAGGCTGCCGGGAGAGCCCTTGCCGGCTGGCGCCCCACCAGCCCATGGCGCCTCCTTGGCTGTGCCCCTGCCCTCATGCTTATGCAACTGGTGATAAGGCGGCTTTGATACCATAATCCACCCGGTGTGGTGGCTCAGCCCCACCCTTAGACTGCTTGCCGAGGCCCTGCTGGTGGCTGGAAGGAGGAAGTGGCGGTCTGGAGGGAGGGGTGCCAGCCCTCTGATGTCCCCTCTGTCACAGCTGGGCTGGTTCAGGCTCTGTCCCTAGATGTGGTCCAGAGGCCCAGGCCAATGGTGACTTTGGTCCTTTGCCGAGGAGAGGGGGTGAGGACTCTGGGGGCCTAGACACCAAGTGGGGACCTGCTGACCAGCACAAACCTGAGCATGGCTGCTTCCTGGCAGCACCCCTGAGGGCCCCAGGCCCCCAGCCTCCGCCAGGCCAGAGGCAGATGGCCACCTGCTCTCAGACTCCCTGTGCCTGCCTGAAAGGTTTGGGGGACAAATCCTAGCTTTGGTGAGTCAGGTGAGAGCCCTTCAGGAAATGAGCCCTGGAGCCGGTGGGGACACTCCAGTGATTGTATCAAACAATGGACAAAGGGGGGCCTTCCGCTCCCCAGCCTGCTTCTTTGGTGAGCCCAGCTAGCTGGCTGGGCTATAAAGCTGGGCCTGCAGTGGTGGGACTCATGTGCTGGGCCAGAGGACAGGCATGGGGATGAAGTCTGTCCTGCTGGGCTGGGTTCTGGCGCTGCCCTGGGTGTCTGGGGCTCAGGTCGAGGTCCTGGTGCAGCCGGGTTTCGATGCCAAAAAGGTACCAGAGGTCTCCATGCTGCGCCTCGGATGGGGGTGGGGGCCAAGCTGGAAACAATAGCAACGACACTGTATAATAGCAATACAGGGATAATAGTAGCTGCCACCTTCTGTGCGGCCCTTGCTCTGCACCTTGGCCTGTGACCCTTTAAGGTTCCCTCTCCATTTAATCCTGAAATCACCCAGTGTTTGGGTAATTACCATTTCAAAGCTGGGGAACGGAGGCACACAGTGGCCATGCAACCTGCCCCAGGTAAGTTGCAGAACAAGGCCTCAGACCGAGGGGTGCGCACTCCAGAGACCCCTGGGTGTGCCTTCAGACAAGTCAGCTGGCTCTGTGCCCCTGGGTCCGGGCAGGTGGGTCTGGCTGGCATGTCCCTGAGCTGCCCCCAGTTCTCAGGCCTCTGGCACGTGGTCTCCATGGTCTCCGACTGCAAGGTCTTCCTGGGCAAGAAGGACCACCTGCTGATGTCCACCAGGGCCATCCAGGCCACAGCAGAGGGCGGCCTCAGCGTGCACATGGAGTTCCCTTGGTGAGCAGCGGGGCCTGGCAGGGCAGGGTGGCCCGGTGGGGCGGGTGGCAGGGAGTGAGTGCTGCTGTGTGCCCCCAGGGCTGACGGCTGTAACCAGGTGGATGCCCAGTTCCTGAAAGTGGGCTCCGAGGGGCACTTCAGAGTCCCAGGTAGGTCCTGCCCCTTCTGCCTTCAGGGGCGCCTATGCCTGTTTTCCATGGGGTGACATGGGGCTGTCCCTCTGCCCTGGACCACTCCCCATCACCTTCTCCGGACCCTCCCCTTGGGCGCTCCCTTACCTGCCCCCACCCCATGGCAAGCAGAGGCTAGTGTGGGGGTCGGGGGTCAGGGCCTGAGCCCTGTGCTTCCCCACGGCTGCTCGGCCGCCCCCTCTGCAGCTTTGGGCTACCTGGATGTACGCATCGTGGACACGGACTACAGCTCCTTCGCTGTGGTCTACATCTACAAGGAGCTGGAGGGGGCACTCAGCACCATGGTGCAGCTCTACAGTGAGGGTCCCTCGGCTGCCTGCCATCCCTGCCAGGCCCCCTGCCCCCCCACCTGGCCCTGCCCCGGGCTTCCCCATCTCCCCTGGTCCCGTCCCTTCAGGCCCTGCCCCCTCTCCTGTTCTACCCCACCTCATCACACTTCTGAGCATGTCCTGCAGGGGCCAGCTGGGGTGGGGGTGGGCATGGCGGGACCCCACTGCACTGGGGTACTAGCGGTTGCCTGAAGGGGCTGCTGAGGGCTGGGCACTCAGGTGAAGCTTGTGCCCCTCTCTGGCCTCCCAAGGGTCAGGACTCATGCTCCCCTGTTTGTCCCCACTGTCTCAGAGGGGCTGACATCTATTTTGCTTTAATTCATGGGGAGCTTGGCACAGTGGGCCAGGGGTTCCCTAAGGTTGGTGAGACTGAGGTGAGGGCCCGAAGCTGGCTTTGGGGGATCAGGGGGAGATGCCTGAGGGAGGCGGTGCCTGGAGGAAGGTGTCCTGGGGGAGCAGCCAGGCCACCCCAACCTTCAGACGGCCCTGGATCAGGGAAGGGCAACTCTGGGCAGCTCCAGGCCTCTCTGATCCCTCCACCAGGCAGGCACTTTCATGCAGGGCACACTCCGCCCAACCTCGGTGCCAGACCAACTGTCAGCCCCAGAGCAGTGCATTGAGGCCGGGAGACCCTCGTCTCCTCTAGCCCTTCACCTCTGACCCATGGGGCTCATGGGGGCCCCTGCTCTGCCCAGGCCGGACCCAGGACGCGAGCCCCCAGGCTGAGAAGGCCTTCCAGGACTTCTACCCCACGGTGGGGCTCCCCGACGACATGATGGTCAAGCTGCCCAAGTCAGGTACCCCGGCCGCGCCCCGCCCCCTGGCCGCGCCCCGCCCCGGACCAAGCTGCGCCCCACGCCCGCAGGGCCAAGTTCCACCCCCGGCCAAGTCCCGCCCCATCCCTGCCTTTCCCGGGTGCAGGCACTGGGTGGGCTTCTCTGCTAAGGGTGGACCGGCCCACAGCCACCACTTGCGCTCTAACACTCCTAAGGGACAGGTTTCAGGCGGCTGGGAGGGGGGGGGGCTCTGCTCCGCCCCGTGGGGCTGTCCCTGGGCCCCCGGGCACGCAGGGGCTGGGGCTGCAGGGAGCCCGCTGGGCCGCTCACAACTGCCTTGCTTCCGGCAGACGCGTGCTCCTCAGCGGGCAAGGAGGCGCCCTGACCCCTCAGGAGTCCCACCCCGGGCTTCCCAGAGCTGGAGGAGGTAACTCCCCCCTGCCGGCCCAGGCCCCGGTGGGCTGCCCTTGCCGCCCCTCACCACTGCTCCCCAGCCGCCTGCCCTGCTTGTGCGATCCGCCCCACCCCACCCCGCTGGGCGGCCTGGCCGTCCATCCGTCCATGTGCTTCAGGCCTCGGCTCGCCCATCTCCCCTTCCAGGGAGCCTCCCCTGATTTCCTGGGGCCGTCTAACAGGTGACCACAAACCCGGGGCTCACAGAGACAGTCCTCACATCTGGAGGCCTGAAGCCCCAGTCAGGGTGTGAGGGCCGCTCCTCCGGGGCTGTAGGGGGATCCTTGCTTCGTCCGGCTTCGGGGTTGCCCGAGATGCCTGGCCTTCCTTGGCTTGTAGACTCGCTGCTCCCCCGTCTCTGCCTTGGTCGTCACATGGCCAGCTGGCCTGTGTGTCCGTCCGGACTGCCCTCTTTGGGGGCCACTGGGCCCACCCTGACCAGATGACCTCACCTCCAGGGCCTTAACTAGGCACATCTGAAAGACCCTGCTTCCAAATATGGTCACATGTGGAGTTCCAGGCAGACTTGAACTTTGGGGGGACCTCATCCAGCCAGCACTCTTTGTCCCTCTAGCCCCTTGGCTCACCCCCTGGGCCTCTGGGCCCTGCTTTGCAATCGCCTGGGTCCTGTCCTCACCCCGAGGGTCCCGTGAGGCAGGCCCCCCTCATTCTACATCAGCACGTCCCTGGCTGTCCTGGCCATCCATGCAGGGGACATTTGGGCTGTTAGTTTTTCACAGTCCCCGTGGTGCTGCCCCACGTCCTGGCACTGTCCCCCTGTGGTTGTTTCAGAAAGGTTACCGGGTGGGAGGAGAGGGTGTAGGGAATCTCGCCAGATTGCCCTCCGGGCGGGTCTGTGTGTGGAGACTGAGGCTCATCCATCTTCCTGCTCTGCCCCCACACATGATTATCTTAAAAAGAAATAGCAGCCTTCGGGGTACAGTGCCCCACAACCCCACCTTCAGCTGCTGAGGCTCTGCGTTTTGTTGCGGCTCGGTGGCCATTCTTGGACCTTCTTGCCATGCCAGCCATGGAGCGGGCGAGGTGCTGGGAAGCGTGGCTGGGCCCCAGGAGCCTGGGGGCAGCGGGGTGTGTGTCTGCACACTTGTGGAAGCTCTGGTGGCAGAACTAGCTCACACTGGCATGTGGGTAACACGTGTCTGGGAGGGGTGCCCTACGGGGCCAGCTGGGGGCGTCCTGGGAGTGTTTGTTGAGTGGGTACATGGAGTGGCTCCCCTTTCTTGTCTGTGCAGGGTGAGCCGGAGCAGCGGGACCCTGAGTGGTCCAGACCCGTGGACTTCCCGCCTCCCCACCACCGAGCCTCGGGTCACCCTCCCCTCCTCATCCCTGGGCCTCCCCCTCCCACTCAATAAACATTCTGCAGACTTGAGACTCCTCACTTCTTTGGAGAGGACCTTGGGAAGGGCACAGTGGCTCCATCTTAATCCAGGACTTCTGAGAAACTGAGGCAGGGACGCTGGCACCTGTGTGGGGCTGTGTCCCCCACCTGCCGGCCCCCGTGGGATCACAGCACCCGTGGGGAACCAAAGTGCCCTGTGAGGCCTGGCCCTGCACAGACCCTGCCTGATCCGGAGGCGGAGCCACACAGGGGCTGTGGGGTGGAGCTTGTTGGAGTTTCCCCTCCCACCACCGGTGTGACCTTGATCTTGGGCACATTACGCAAACCTTTGAGAGTCCAGGAAAGGTCCACTGTCATGGCCTGAGTCCTTGCCTGTGGGCCTGCACCGACCCCAGACACACATAGCAAGCGTGTCATGCTCCTGGTTTCAAAGGTCAGGAAACAGCACAGAGGTTGGTGACTGTCCAGTGAGGGCCAGGCTGGGGTTCAGGCTCAGTGGTCAGGCTCTGTGCTGTGGCCACCTTCCACATCCCTGACACTGCGCCAGTGGTCTTCCCACTCGGAGCTCTGGACGTCCAGCTGGTGTCCAGCACACATACTTCAAAGGGCTGGGCACGGGGCGAGGCAGGGGGGGTGCAGACGTCCTGCTTGGCCGCTCGTCGCAGGGCTGGTGCTGGAAGCACTCAGCCTCGAGGGGCATCTGTCCTCATCCCACCCCAGCCACCCAGAGACAGCGGCCGGGTGTCTCCCATGCTTCCTGTCCTCCCCCTTGTGCCTGGCCCAGCGCAGCCCTGGAGGCCCGGCTCATCAGCCCAGAGCTGTGGTCAGCCGGGGCCAGGGGCAGCGAGTCCCCAGCCTCCTCCGGGTCCCTGCTGCTCCTGCTCTTTGGATGGTCCCTCTCTACTGCTGGTGTGCCTGCCAGCTTTGGGCTGCCCTGCCCTGGCTTGACTCCCACGCCCTCCATGCCTGCCTGACCTAAACCAACAGCTTTGTGGGAGGGCAGCGCTGTGGCAAGTCCCCCTGGTGAGCGGGGCCTCCCTCCTGGCTGACCATGCCTGGAGCCACCCCGGGTGTGCTGTTCCAGCCCTGAGGGTGGAAAGCCTGCCCCCCAGCTGGCCAGGGATGAGGGTTGCTGATCCGGGCAGGACTTGCTTTGGGAACCCTTGAACCCCTCTTGGCCACGTGGTGCCTCCTCTGCTTTGTCATCATCACAGATGGGGAAGCTGAGACAGAGCAGCTGGCCCTGGTCACATGGCTGGGGGTCAGGGCCGGTGCCCAGGAAGCCTGGCTCCATCCTCACCTTGCGATGATCATCGCTGGGTCCTGGTTCTGTGATAAAGTTTGTTGGGAGCCCTGGAGCACAGACGGGGGTCCTGGGGCACAGACGGGGGTCCTGGGGCACAGACGGGGGTCCTGGGGCACAGACGGGGGTCCTGGGGCACAGACGGGAGCCCTGGGGCACAGACGGGGGTCCTGGGGCACAGACGGGGGTCCTGGGGCACAGATGGGGGTCCTGGGGCACAGACGGGAGTCCTGGGGCACAGATGGGGGTCCTGGGGCACAGATGGGGGTCCTGGGGCACAGACGGGAGTCCTGGGGCACAGATGGGGGTCCTGGGGCACAGTCGGGGATCCTGGGGCACAGACGGGAGTCCTGGGGCACAGATGGGGGTCCTGGGGCACAGATGGGGGTCCTGGGGCACAGATAGGAGTCCTGGGGTACAGATGGGGGTCCTGGGGCACAGTCGGGGATCCTGGGGCACAGACGGGAGTCCTGGGGCACAGATGGGGGTTCTGGGGCACAGATGGGGAAGGGGAGGACTCTGGCATCCCCCAGGCTGAGTTCAAATCCTGGCTGTACACACACCAGCCTTGGAGCAGGAGCAGGACAGGGACTCTGTGAGGCTGGCCCTCTGGGCTGTGGGTCTCACTGTGGGGCCTGAGTGAGGCCAGGGTAGTTGAGCTGTGTGGGGCCTGGCATGGGGGTGGGGCACGGTGGGAGAGGGTGCAGGCCACAGGAAGGAGAGAGCAGTTGGTGGCCCCCTCCCCCGCTGAGGTTCGTGAGGCCCAACCCACCTCTCTTCCGGGGGCCTCTGTCACTGGGCCTCTGTGCTGTTGCATGCCGCACCCAGCTTCGCCGGCTCTGTGGCAACCTTCCCAGGACAGAAAGCCCCTCAGTCACTTCCCCACCTGCAGGGCAGGACCCTCAGCCAGCGCCACACCAGGCCCTTAGAGCGGTTGCTCACTTGTCCCAGGACATCAGAAAGAGCCCCACTGCGTGCCAGTGAGGAGAAGCCCAGGGGCGAAAGCAGGACCCGCTGAGCCTGGCCTACCCATCCCTCTGGCCTCTCTGTGGTCCCATGGACGTGTGATCCCCAGCTGCCCCCAGGCAGGGCCCCTGCAGAGATCACTGCCATCCCAGGCCAGGAAGGTGCTGGGGCTGCAGCTCTAACCTCGGCCAGCACCACCTCCACAGCTGCGGGCGGAGGGGCCTGGGTGGGGCGTCTGCAGAGTCCGAAGCCAGACTGGCCTGAGGACATTCTCAGGTGCTTGCACATGCCGGCTCTCCCTGTGGATGTAAACCAGGGAAGCGGGGAGTGGAGGCCCACGAGCCCGCACAGCCCCACCATAGAAGCTGGGCTGCTGGGTGCCATCCTGCCGAGCGCCCTCCTGGTGCAGCTGGAGCTGGCCATGCAGGACCTGGAAATGCAGAAGGCGGCTTTTCTTCCTCGGCTCTGGGGCTCTGGGCAGGGAGGGCCTGGGGCACAGCCACTCCAGGCCCCTACCCCTCTACCCCCACAGCTGCTGCCTGAGCAGCCACCTGGGGGCCAGGACCGACAGGTCGGCCCCCACAAAGGCTGAGCGCAGCCCGGCCAGCTCTCTTCTCTCCTGGGGACTGGGTATGAAGCAAGCACCCAGGCACAGGCGGGGGCAGAGCCCTCCCTGGGGGTCTCTGTGGGCGGGCTCGCGTCCTGAGCCCGACCTGCTGGCCCTCTGGGGTCCGGGGCTCAGTGCGGCCACTTCCTGCTCCTGGGTAGGTGGGGTCCCTGCTCCCTCGGGTCCACGCACCGGGCAGCCGGAAGAGGCTCTCCGCAGAGAGCAGAGCTCGGCTGGGGCCTGTGGCTCCCTGCAGAGGCTTCCTCTCCCAGGCTCCTTATTCGCAGGGACTGTGTCGGCTGCTGGGCCAGGAGCACATCAGCTCTGGGAAGACGGATGTTGGGGACTGGGGACGAAGAGTCTTTTCTCTCACAAAAATGACCTGTTCCCCAAAGTTTCAGATGGCAGCTTCTGAGGGCGGGAGATCCGCCCCTGGCGAGGTTGGGCAGAGCTGCACCCCTCCAGGGGTGGGGGCCGCTGACTGGTCCTGCAGAGCCGTTTGCTCTCTGGCCTCTTTCTCATTCGTCTGGCCCTCTGCAGCCCCTCGCCCCTGGGGTCTAGCCACCACCACCCCTGGTGCCCCAGCAGCAGAGGCTGGCTCTCACGGGACAGCAGCCGACAGGCCTGGGGTGTGGACAGCTCACGGAGCGTGGTGTCTCCCAGGCCTACGCGTGCGGTAGTGCCCATCGGGAGTCCCTCCTTTTGAGGGCTGAGTGGTACTCACGGTGTGCAAGGCCCGTGTTTTGTTTATCCGTTGGTGGTGATGGACATGTGCCCTGCCTCCACCTTTTGGCTTTGTGAGCACCGCTGCTGTGAACACGGGTGTGCAAATCTCTCTTCGAGGTGCTCCTTGCAGCCCTTGGACCCCAGGTGTGGGAGTGCTGGCTCCTGTGATGGCCCTGGGCCCCATCTTCTGAGGAGCTCTGCTCTGGTTCTTGTCCATAGCCATGCAATACTCCACCGGCTTTCTTCCAGGCCTCTGCTGATGGACAGATGGCAGCGCCCGATCGTTTATGGTTGAAAATATACTTTGGGGAGCAGACCCTAGCACCTTCCCACTGAGGGGTGTCTCTGAAGGATAAATCCCTAGGGGTCAAGGCATGTCTGTACTTCTGTTGAGAGTGCTTCACGAGGTGCATGGCTGGTCTGCAACCTGTTGCCTGTACTTGGCATTCACTCCCTCTTTGTCCTTCGCCATCTGATAGGCACAATGGCCTTGTGTTAGATTTTATGCCCCATTCTCCAATGACAAGAGCGGAGGGACATCTAGGTTTATGTTAATGGCCCTTTGTGTTTCCGTCCCAGCACGCTGCTCAAATCTTTTGTGTATTTTCTTCTTGGGTGTGTTTTTACTGATCTATAAGAACCCTCAGATATCAGGGATATTAGTCACTTGTCTGTGGTAAAGGTGAGTTGCAAATATATTTCCTAGTCTGTCATTTTTCTCACAGCACCGAGGAGTGTCCTGGCACGAAGTTCTTGTTATCTGTGTGTAGACGTGGATGTCAGCCTCTCCCCCGGGGATTCTGGCTTCTGTGACAGTTGCTCAGAAGGCACTTCCAGCCCCATTTTCTCTGCATTTGGAATTTTCCCTGGGGAAACCTCACTCTTTTCCTAGTTAGTCCTGCTGCTCTGTCCGCACGCACTGTGGTCTGAGCTCTCCCGGGTGAGGCTGGCCACTGCCGCTTCTGCAGGGTTTGTTCATCTCGCCCGCAGCCAGCAGGGAACAACGGCCCCTTTGATGGCGAATCTCTTTGTCCAAAACTGCAGCTCCCCTTTCGCCTGCTGAGGCCCCTCTGTGGCCCTGGCAGGTGGGGGGAGAGGGGCGGGGGCCGACCGGCCACGCAGTGTCCCCAGGTGCCGCCCTTCGCTGGAGAGCAGGGTTTCTGGCCGCCACGCTGCCACTGGCCGGTCTGGGCGGAGGAAGCCTTGCCTCCTCTCCTCTTGCGTCTGGACTTGAGCTGCTGCCGGACCTTTCTTTTCCAGGCTGGAGAGATGTGACCTGAAGGTCATGGAGCTGCTGAAACAAAATTCTGGGTGGGTGTTTGAAAATCCCAGTAGGAGGGTGGCCCTGGCGGCCTGACCTGGACCAGCGTGGGCGTGGCCCCGTTTCCCGGCCTGGCTGTCACTGGGCTGGGCTCTGCCGCCCTCAGCCCTGGGCCCGGGTCCCCTGCAGCGGCCCCAGCCCTGTGCAGGCAGGGCCAGTGCTGGTGGAAGGGGAGGGGTGACTGCATCCTGAGCTTCAGCAGAGTTCTCCACCAGAGGCGAGGGACCTCATTTTGTCAGGTTTGGCACCAGCCCTGAGGATAGGGGACAGCACTGTGCCTGGCCGGCCCACCTGGGACCCCAGGCCTTGCCCTGTAGTGTGCAGGGGGGATGGCGTCTGTCCCCAGTGGGGCAGGATGGGGGGCGGGGGCCCGTCCCAGCCCAGCTGCTCCAGGATGAGCTGGGACAAGCCCTTGCCGTGCCGTCCATCAGTGACTGACAGGCTCCACGTGTTAGCAGTGGGTGGGGCCAGGGGCCAGAGGGCCAGGCCTGCTGGGGTTTCTCCCGAGGTGTGACTGTCCCTACACCCGGGGGCTCCTGTTCCCATCCTTGTGCGTGTTGGGGTACCAGGTGCTGGGCACCAACCTCAGGAACTCTGCCATCGTGTCCACCCAGCTGGAGTTCGAGGCTGAGGCTTTCAGCACCGTGGAGCTGCATGGTGAGTGGGGCACCAGGAGACTGCCGGCCTCACGCTGCTGGGGGGGGGCTCCCCACCCGGCGGCCACTCGAGGGGAAGGGCCTTGCGGTCGGCAGAGGGCAGCACCCTCCTGGCCCCAGGCCCGGCTCTCAGATGGCACCCCTCCCCGCAGGCCTGACAGAGCTGGCCAGCCAGGAGGCCATACGCCTCTTCGCCCATGGAGCCGGGGCCCAGGCTTCCTGTCACAGCAGCAGGCCAGGCTGCAGGACTGTGAGTGTCGCCTGGGCCACCTCATGCCCGGGAGCTGGGGCGATGGACTTCGGGGCCAGCCACTGACCTCTGCTGCTCTTGGGGACCCTCCTGGCCTCAGGGGGTCAAGTGGGCCTGGGGGGTTCTCCAGGGAGCCACCAGCTCCCTGCCCAGTCAGGTCCATGGGGCAGGGGCTGGGGCTCTGGTGCTGGGGCGTCCATCTGGGCAGGAGAGAGCCCCCGTCCTCATGGCCCACCTTGCCTCCACCCCAGTGTCCTGTGCACGCAAGGTCTTCCAGTGTCACCCTTGGAGTCCCTACGCCCTGGAGGCAACACCACTGTGGGCCGGGGGCCGGGAGGGGCGATGCTTCTCTGGGGGCACCCTGGGGTCCCAGAGCTCTCCTTGGCTTCCAGTGACTGCCAAGGCCCCTGGGGGGAGCGCCGCTGAGTCCTGGTGCTCCCCTGGCTCAGCTGCTGGGCTCCCAGGGCTTCTGCTGTGGGCCAAATAAAGTGAATCCACAAGCCCGCCTGGGGCCCCTTGCCTGTGTGCCAGGCAGCCCTGTGCAGGCTCAGAGGGAGAAGACTGGGCTGGCGGGCACGCCAAGGACTGAACCGCAGAGCACGGAGCCAGCTCTGGGTCGGGGGTCCCTCGGCAGAGTCCCTCAGGGTCCAGCTCTGAGGTGGGGCCTGGGCTGCAGGCGGCTGCTCCTCCTGCGGGGTGACCGTGGTTCCTGGGCCGGCGGGACGCTAGTCTTCCTGGGTTGGAGCAAGACTGTGGTCTGAATGCAGTTCGGACAGGGCACTGGGCTCAGGCAGTGCTTGGCTTTGCCAGCCTGGGGCTCGGGGGGCAGGGGCAAGGGCCAGGGACCCCGGAGGGCCTGAGGCTGTCAGCCCTCCTGTGTTTTGGAGGGCCTACCCGAAGTCCTGGCCGAAGCATGGGCCATTGAGGAGCTGGCTGGAAGCAGGCTGGGGGCTTCCCATGGCTCACTGTCAGGCGAGGGGCATGCAGGGCTGGCTCTGCAAGGTTGGACTAGCACGTACATGCATACATGCACGCACACACACATGTACATATGTGCACACACTTGCGTCCCCATCCTGGCTCTTAGTACCTGCTCAGGGAACCAAGAAGGTAGCCCTGGCATCAGCGTGGGCACCGTCTGAGCCCATCCTCATGGTGAAAGCCCTTGCAAATCTCCCTGAGACGTGGCTCCCAGGGACACTGCCTGGTGTGGGCCTCTCTCCTGGGGGTAGGATGGGAGGCCCGGGGCTTTCACTGCCCGGCGAGACAGCTCCAGGGGACACACGGTGACCTGAGGCCCAGAAAGTGGCCTTGGGGACATGATGACTTCCGTGTTCAGGGGCCTCCCTGGCAGGCAGTGCCCCCCCGAGTGGCTGTGCACCTTCGGGGCTGAGTGCGGGGGCTGAGGGTGGGTAGGGCCCAAAGACCCCTCCCTTCCTGCTGGCCCACTGGCTCGAGGCTCTGGGTTGGCCTACGCCCAGGGCAGGGCTGGCAGGCAGGGAGATTTCAAGGCTGCATCCTGGCAGCCGGGGGAGGTGAGTGGGGATGGGGCCAGGGTGGCTGCCAACAGGGCTGGTCCTGGCGCTGGGGCTGGCTGTGTGGTCCCAGCCATGGGAGCTGCTCCCCAGGGACTCCCCTGACCTCAGCTGGAGCACAGTGAGCCTTGAGCCCACAGTCCCGGGCCAGGTGCTGGTGTGGGTGGCGCTGCTGCGAGGTGGCTCCCTGAACGTCCTCCAAGGGCTGTTGGGAGGCCGCGGGCAGCCCCCTGACGCTCGTGGCTTGGCTTTCTGCCCACCCAGCAGGGCTGCCCACCTGGCCTCCCCCTGAAGGACCGGGGGTCCGGGAGAGGGCAGGGCTGGGGGCCCCAGGCACACACGCCTGGGGTCGCTGGGAGATGCCGGGTGGGCCGGGAGGAGGTGGAAGAAGCAGGGGGGGCGCTCTGGGGCGGTGAGATGCCAGCTGGCAGGAGGTTCTGGTGGGCATGGGTGTGGGTGTGTGGTGCCCGGGGGAATGGGCTCCTGGCAGGAAGAATCAGTGGGCAGGGCACAGGCGGGCAGGAAGGAAAGGGGCCCAGGAGGCCCCCGTGGGAAGGAACCTCCACACGGCCCAGCCCGGGGCGGCCGGGGAGCCGGGAGGGCAGCTCCCACTTCTGTTCGCGCCGCGAGCGCCCTCTCCAGTTTTCAGGGTTTTGTCATATTCTGGCTGTTGCCTCCGACGCCCCGGGGCTTGTGCCTGGCGAGACCAGAGGAAGCTGGGGGCGTGTGCACCGCAGGTTCACAGGGCCGGTCGGCTGAAGGGGGTCCTGGCCTTCAGCCGGTGAGCAGGCTGTGGCTGGGGTCCCGGCACAGCCCTTTCAGACTCCCTGGTGCAAACAGCCCAGGATGGGGAGGGGGCTGAGCAGGGGCAGCCAGCCCCATGTGTCCGCCTGGAAGTCCACGGCTCCTTCACTTCCTACCCCTAAAATTCAAAGGGCTGATTTTAGGAGGGCAGCCAGCCATGAGGGCCCTTAACAGGCAGTGGGTGTTTGGAGCATTTCACCTACACTGAGGGGTGAGCCCTGGTCCAAACTGGAAAATTCCAGAACAGAGGCAAGAAGGGGCTCCCTGGCTGCGAGCTCGCGGCCACCTCACTCCCCCCAGGCCACAGGGCTGCCAGGCCCACGCGCTGATCCTGTGGAAAGACAGGAAGAAAGCCGTGTTCAGGAATAAGTGTGTGTGTGACAGCCTGGGGTGGGAGAAACCTGCAGCGGGCGTGTCCATGGGCTTCAAGGCCCCTGAGCACTAGATGTGGTGCCCTGACCCCACAGCACCCTGACCCCATGAACCCCAGCAGCCCTGTGCCCTGGAGAATAGGGGTGGTGGTGGGCGGACTCCCCAGACACAGGGCAGCCAGTGGGCGTGGGCCTGGAGGCAGTGCGGTGTGTACCCCCAGCCTGCAGGGTGGGGCCCTCTGTGCAGGAGGGGGAGGCAGGGCACGGGGACACGGCCCAGCACGGCGGGCGCTCTGTGCTTGCCTCCCGTCCAGCGAAGGGCGTCAGGGCTTCTGTGTGCTGTCCACTTACTGCAGCTACGGCGTGGTCTTCCTGCGCCTAGGGCGGGCTGGCCAGGCCTTCAAGACCCTGCTGCTCCTCGGTGAGTCTGGCGGCCTGGGTGGTGAGCATGGGGGTGGGGCCGTGAGGGCCAGAGGGGCCGGAGGGCTCATGGGCCCTGTGCAGGTGGCACCCGTGCACACGGGCCCATCTGCTCAGGTCTCTGCAGCTGTGGCTAGAGGACCAGGGGCTGCGTGGCCCTGCCCACTGCAGTTCCTCAGACTAGCATATATGTGGGGTGGGGGTGGCATCCATGTTCAAGAGCAGACACGGGCTCCCTGAGCAGTGCCAGCCCTCCCCACACCTCCGTCCCCCCACAGCCTCCTGTGCACACACCATCCTGCCGTGAGGGCGAGTCACCCACTCCTTTGGGACCCAGATTGTGGTTCCACTAGACCCCAGGAGCGTTGTTCCAGATTGCATGTCTTCACATCCAACTGTTTGTTGAGAAGTGTTTGGTGACCCCAGGCCATTGCTCGTGTGAAACTCAGGGCCATGGCTTTAGCCCAAAAGGGATCCTTTATCATCGAGAGATGGGGGTAGGAGGGTCCAGGCTGGCTGGCAGGGGTTGCCAAACCAGGTCCCTTCTGCCTGTGTCCTGCAGGTTACGTGGCAGAAAGATGCTGCCACCCCTTGTCTGCTGTGAATAAACCTCAGGCTGGCCCAGTGCACCCTTGCCCTGCGTCCTGTGCACAGTGAGTCTAGGCCATTGCTCTCTGTGGTCCTTGACATCCTACAGTTTCTCAGGGAGCCGTTCGCTGATCACCAAACATTCATAAGCACCTGCCATGTGCCAGGCATCATGCCAGCTGCCTGGGAGAGGGCAGGGGGCATAAGCCAAAAGGAGCTCTGACAGAACTGGTGCCCCCAGGAGAGGCAGATGTGCAAGCAGCCAGCCATGCACATGAGGCGGACTCTGAGAGATACACCTAGAAGGGACAAGCATGAAACAGCAGCAGGTGACTCATTCCAGGTGGAGAAGGAGGGGTCCTGGAGAGCTTCCTGGAAGAGGTGATGTGTGAGTGAGCAATGCAGGGTAGCGAGTAAAATAGGTGGGCCTGGGCAGCAGGTGTCCCTGGAAGAGGAAATGACCCTGGAGCGGTAGGGATGGGGAGAAGGGCATGGGTCCAGGGGTCCTAAGTGGGGTTCAGACACAGGAGAGGGAACACGGGGAGAGATGCAGCTCCTCCAGGACCTCCAGGTGGAGACGCCACCTAGGGAGCTGGGGGTCTGAGCGAGTCTAGGTGGGAGGCAGACACCGTGGAGTTGCTGACATGTATTTGCTAGTGGAAGTCACAGGCGTGGATGAGGCCACCCGAGGAGGAAGTCATGGGAAGGGATTGGTTGGCTACTGCCACGTAACAACCACAGATCTCTGTGCGGTAAACCAGGACCAGTAGCTTTTGCTTCGCCACCTGGGGGTCAGCGTGGGGCCAGCCTATGGGGTCTGGGCTCAGCAGGGCAGCCCTGTTGGTCTCAGTCGGGGTTGTTCTTGAGGTTTGGGGGTGCAGTGTGGGGGTGGATCTGGGCTGGCTCAGGGGAAGGCTCGGCTCCATGTGCCCCTCTGTCCCTCTGACCCGTGGGCTGACCCGGGCATGCTTGTCTCATGGCACTGTCGAGGCAGAGCAGCCTGGCAAGAAATGCGAGTCCTCTCAGGGCTGAGTGTGGGCACATGGCCCTTTATGCCTCATCTTCTGAGCCAAAGCAAGTCACGGGGCCAAACCCTGAGCCAGGAGGCCGGGAGGTGCACGGCCTTGTTCACAGAGGCCGCCAGCCCGCCTTGATTCAGGACCCCAGGGCTCACCGATCAGGGCGCCAGGCTGGGGTACCAGACCTTGTGATCCATGTGCTATGAGGGTCCGTGGGTCACACACCTTCGGACAAAGCGGGAAGTTGGCAGACCCTCATGTGCTCAGTCCCAGAGGGACAGGGCGAAAGGGGGCCACAAACACCCCCGTCAGGAGGAAGGCCAGGACACAGGGCGGTGGCAGACCTGCTGAGACCACACGCTTGTGTCTCCCTACTCTGGGGCTGGGGTGTTCCCTGCTTTGGTGACAGGGTCTCCGTCCCTTGTCCTCTCACCTCTGTCCTCTGGGACCGCCTCCCTTTTGCCTGTATTGGCTGCTCGCACTGGCCTCTTCTGAAGGAGGCGTGTGTCCCAGCCTGTTCCTGCCTGTAGAAACCTGGGGGCCCCAGAGGCCCATCTGCGCTTTGCACACCTCCCTGAGGGCTTTTGCCAACACAGTACCTTTACCTGCCTTGTGGGTTTCCTATCCATCTGACTCTAATTTGCTCCAGGTGCCAAAAGCCAAGCCCAGAGCTCTGTGCTGGATTATTAGAATTGGGTCTCTGCCAGCTGAGGGACAGGGCCTGGGGCATCCAGGAAGCCCGGGCATGCACCTGAGGTGCTTCTGGGCACACCTGGATTCTCCCTGATGTTCTCATGTCACCCCACAGTCTTGACTTGTCACATACTGAGGCTGTGCTCAGCTGTGGAACCTGGAACTGCTTTTGTCCTCATTCTGCATCCCCATGTGCTGGATGTGATCCTATGTTAGAGCTCAGCTCTCCCATGGCATCTACACTGGGAGTGAGAGCCCCTGGGGTCCTGGGGGACCCTGCCATGTGTTCCCATGTGGAGCCCTTTCCTCTGGGCATCTCCAGGTGGGCACAGGTGTGCCTGTGCATGCATGCCCCGGCGACCCAGTGCGTCTGAAGGCCATAAACCCTGCAGGGACAGCCTACCCCCATCCTTCCCCTGCCTGTGTAAGGGACCCAGAGCCGCTCAGGAAACTGCACCCCTGCCAGGAGGGCTGGCTTTGGAGCCGCCCTTGGCACTCTCTCCCCAGCCACATGGGCCGCCTGCCCCGCTACCCCGACTTCCCTTCCCCACAAACCCCGTCTCCCGTTTGTGTTTTTACCTAGAGTTCTTTTTTTCATTTACATTTTCATTGCTTTTTATATTTTATCCTTTAAAATGTAAATATAATAAAATTTTGTTTTATGGTTTAATCTGAAAGCTTCTTCAGGTCAGAGTGCGTCACTCCCCACAGTCAGCCCTGCCGGGGCCGCGCCCCCACCGCCCCTCCTCCAGCCCCAGCAGCGCCCATCTGGGCTCTCTCAGCTCCTTCCTTCGCCCACCTGCGCTCTCTCGGCTCCTTCCTTCCTCCATTCCGGATGTTACCTGTCAATGGAGTCAAACAACAGGTCTCTTTTGTGTCTGTCTGCATATTTTATGCGGGGAGTGGTTAATTTCTGTATTTATTGGAAACAGTATTTTTCTTATTGGAAAGGGAAATCCCAGATGAATTAAACATCAGGATGGACCTTGGAAGGTCTCATGCTGAGTGAAGGAGGCCAGCCCCAAAGGCCACTGTCGCGTGAGTCCCCTTCCGTGGCCCGCCCAGAACGGGATGATCTGCAGTGGTAGAAAGTGGATTCCTGGCCTCCAGGACCTGGGGTGGGATCGGTGGGCATGGGAGGTCCTTTGAGGGGTCAGGAATGTTCTAGAATGAGAATTTGGTGAAGGTTGCCACAGCCCTACAAATGCACTATTAACATTTACTTGTACATTTAGAAGGGATGAATATTACAGGATGTAAGGGACATCCGCCAACTTGTTAAAATAATCAGAGGTGATCTGGAAGTGGTCTGTCCCTCAGCTGAGGCAAAGCAGGAGAATGTAAACATGGTCCCAAGGGATGGGGCCGGAGCGGAGCTGCAGGGCAGGGTGTGTGGGAGTCCCAGCTCATCATCCGGACCGTGAACACCCTCTCCTCCCTATGACGAAACAGACAAAGCAGGCGGACCCCGAGGTCTGTGAGAGAGACAGCTCTGGCCTTTAGCTGATGAAGGTGGGGGTGTTGGGCTGGCCCTTGGAGGTCACAGTTTCTGCCTGGCCCTGCTGCCTGGCGGCCGGTGCTGGGGGCTTCCGGCCCGCTGCTGCGCCCGCAAAAACCTGCGGGCGCACGGGGCTCGGTTTCCCGCAGGCACAAAGCGCTGCGTGGTTGCGGGGCTCAAGGTGGGCTGCTGCGGCTCTAAAGACCCAGCAGAGCCCGCCGGAGGGAAAGGAGCGCCCGCGGCCTGCGGCAGGAGCGGGGGTTCCCAGCGGCGCGCGCGCCGCTCTGCTCCGGGCACAGGCTGGTTCTTCCCTTGGCTCTCCGCGCAAGGAAGCTGAAAACCCAGCACCATCTGATTGGCCCGCGGATTATGCAAAGAAGGCGAAAACTCAGTACCATCTGATTGGTATAAAAAGAGCAGGGCCCAAACCCTCAGGCCTTGGCAACGGGGAGGGGCCCTCCCGGCAGCTCGGGGCGGGGGCAGTGGGGGGCTCCTGCGAGAAGCCGCCCCTGAGGTCGCTCCTCCGCCAGTGTCTCCTGACAGCACACCGGGCCCCGCTCCCAGTTCCCCGTCAGCCTTCTCCTGCCTGCCCGGGTCCGTTTCAGGGACGCATCCTGTGCTTCGCCAGAGGCTCGGCCCTTGCAGCTGGGACCCGGCCGCGGTGCACCCTGGGGCTGTGGCCTGGAGGCGCCACTCATCTCACCGCCCCTGACCCCGCGCTGCGCAGAGCTGCCTCCCTGGATGCCCATGCCCGTCACCACCACGCCTCCCCTCCTGCCACGCCACCCTCCGGACCGCCGTCCAGGCTTCCGTGATCACGTGGGGGACCTGGAGGCTCCCGCCGTGGTTCTCAGCCGCCTCTGCTCCTGTTCTCACGTCTCCGGCTCATCGCAGAGCCACCAGAGGGCTGGGGTGGCCCTTGGCTCAGTCAGACTCCCCATGGAGCTGGGAGGGCGGTCAGTGGCCAGGAGGGTGCCTGTCTGGGTCGGGGGCACGTGGATGCCGGGCCAGCCACCAACAGTGGCACCCAAAGCCTAATCTGGCCCCTGCCTCCTGCAGTAACAGCTCCGGACTGCACAGCAGACCCAGGACACAAGGAAACGTCCACCTGCCCGGAGGGGCACCCTAGGGGCAGCTAAAGGAGCAGATGCGAAGGGCAGAAGCCTGGGCAGCCCAGATGGACTCCATCTGTCACCCTGGTCTGAATCCCTGGGGATTTTGTGGTGGGGGTGTGGGAGGGTTGAGACTGTAAGCATAGCAATTTACATTTTTTTTGTCTTAAAAGTGTAAAAATTGCAATGCCAATATATTGCCTTCCGTTTAATACAAATAACATTATTTGATCCTGATTATGCAAAAATCCAAAAATGGTGAAAATAAAGTAGGAGTTAAAGATCCTCTCTGGTTCAGCACCCTCCGTCCAGAGGGCAGCCTTTGTATTAGTATCTGGTATATGTGGGGTGGGGGGTGGGGGGGCGCTGAGGGGTCACCCACAGGCAATTACAAGTAAGGCCTCGCAAAGGCAGAAAGGGGAAGAGCCAGGAGGGGGCCTTTGAAAGGGCCCAGTGGCTCAGACCTGGGCCTGGGCTGTGCGGCAGGTGGGGAGGTGGGGGGCTGCCCAGCGCAGGCTGAGCCCCTCCCCCCTCCGCGGGAGGGGACGGCATGGGAACAGCACGTTGCCCTCCACCTGCTTCTGTTGACCAGTTGGAGCAGATCGCCGTGTGGTGAGGCTGTGGGCTCTAACTGTACCTACGTCTTGGATATTGAAAACAATGTTTTTTTTTTTCAAAATTGGTAAATGATGGCAGAAGATCTCCAAATAATGCCATTAAACCTCAACCCTACAGCTATTTCATTATTTATTTGTCCCAATTTCAGGCATTTAGGACATTTTTTAAATTTCACAATTATACATAATTGTGAGTTCAAATAGTTTTATTCTTACGAATTTATCTGCACCTCTAAAACTTTCACCACAAAGTCCTTTCTGAATGTAACTTCAGGGAGAGGAAATCCCGGAGCAAAATACCTCTAAAACCAAAATCAGTCAAAGGGAGAAATACAGTTTAAAACCCTTATTGCCCACAAACTGCAGTCTGGGGCCGCCTCTCTCTCCTGCTCCAGCAGAAGCAGGCAGGCCCTCCCCCTGACCTCTCAGGTTCAGATCAGCCCTCGGTTGCCGGGTAATTACCCACTGAGATGGAGCTGAACTGCTCTCCACCCCTGAGGAATGCCATTTGATAAGCCAGGAGAAATATTCTGGAAATATAATTTTACCCACATGAATCACAAACAATTCAGTTCCTTAGTGTCACTAGGGCCCCAGAGGGTCACCTTCCCGGGTCACATGGGGAAGGGCAGGGGCTCAGGAGGAAGGGCAGAGGAGGGGGCCTCCCGCACAGGCCCACCTGGGACACGTCCAGTCTCCCCCTACGCAGCTGTGTGTGAGCTGGGGGCCTGCTCGGGAGTGGGCCGAGAACCCCAGGCAGCGGTCCGGAGGCCTGGTTCTCCCCGGCCAGGCCGGAGCTGCCAGGAGGCCCACAGGGATTTTCACGCGGCTCCCTCCTCACGGCTCGTGACGCCTCCCTCCCTCCTGCCCCTCTTCGTCCTGGACCCTGAGGCCATCAGGACAGTGCACAGGTCATCATCTTGTAGGACAGCTGGTATTGGTCTGGGCTGGTCGGCCCAGCTGCACCCAGAGGAAGGTGTCCAGTGCCCGGGGAGAAGTGTGGCTAAGAGCTTTGCATGCTCCTGGTGCACCTGCCCACCCCTCCTGGCTGCTGGGGCCCATGCTGGCCGGGCCATCCTGCCAGGACCCCTGTGCTGGGCCCATGCTGGCCGGGCCATCCCGCCAGGATCCCTGTGCTGACCTTACCAGGGGCTCCCAGACGCCACTGCCTGGGGAGAGATCTGTCTCCAGTAGCCCTGTTCCCTGGCCTCCACCTTCTGGGATGAGGGCGTGGGGAGCCTGTGAGGAGCTCCCCACCCTGGGGTCAAGGTGAGGAAGGTTGGCCAAGCCTCCCCAGGAGGCCATAGCCACTGCCAACAACCTGGCAGTCCAGACCGGAGGACACGGTCTAGATGGCCCCCAGGCACGTACCTTTGTGTGACATTCACTGTATCATGAACAGACTGGTGGTACAAAGGAGTCCAGTGTGCAGGTCAGCCAGGGCCTTGCTCAGGAAGACAGCAGGAACACAAACACAGCATGACCTTTCCTGGGAGCAAACACAGGCCTTCTGGCTATCCCGTTGCACCCTGGGGCTCAGGTTAAGTTCAAGGGGTCTGTGCGTCCAGCTCAGGAAGAGCGAGTGAGCCCTGGTAGGGAGGCCTGGACCCGACCCACCTGAGGGAGGAAGCTACAGAGACACCCTGTCGGCTGTGATGCGACCCCTGCAGGCCGGGGGGTGAGGCCCTTCTTCCCCAGGCGGGGGCAACTGTGCTGGGGGGTCACTGGGCAGGGAGGTGGAAGGACGTGTCTAGACTCAGGCAGGGCGGGCTGGGGGTCCACTGATGGAACCCTCGGGGGTCACCCAGGAGACAAGGAGGCTCAACGGGGACACCCCAATGCAGATGGGGTGCAGGGCAAAGAATGCAATGATGAGTCACATTAGACCTAAAATAAATACTGTTTGGAGTGAGAAAACCCCCTCACACATTAAAAAGCTGGTCAAGTACCATTAACACCCCAAACCATAAAATTTGATGTGTTGATACGTGGCATACCTCTAAAAACACCTCTTTTTCCCATGACTTTAGCTGCTACTCAGGATTATCATTTCCTATGAAACTGACGCTCCACTACTTTTTATAAGGAGGATAGAAAGATAGCTCAGAATCCGCTCTAGCACAGGTGGTCAGAGCTCATTTTTTATTGCTGATGGTTGGGATGCACGGGCACCTGACTCTCGGCACGGATGCAGGCTGGAGGTCCAAGATGCTGGTGATGGCAGATTTGGTTTCTGGTGAGGGCCTGAGTCCTGGTTCGGAGACTGTCTCCTTGCTGCGTCCTTCCGTGGCAGCAAGGGCGAGGGAGCACTCGGGGGTCCCCTTATAACAGTGCAATCCTGTTCTTGGGGGCTCCTTGTGACCTAGACACCACAGAGGCCCCGCCTCCTGCACATCACAGCTGAGGGTCAGCTTTGTATGCATTCGACATTCTTTAGACGTCCACTAAAAACAGGACTTTTCTCCTCATGTAGAAGAATTGTTAGTGTTCTCACTGCCCGTATTTGATCGACTTTGCTGATTCACCTTCCTAGTCCTGGTGCTGGTGCCCGGACTGCCCCTCCAGGTTCACCCTTGAGAAGCGCCTCTGGTGGGAGTTGGGAGCGCTGAGCCCTCGCTCCCTTGCGTCTCCCATGTCTCCATTTCACCTTCCTGTTCCGTGAGAGCCGCCGGGCTGAGCGCAAAGCTGAGGCCAGGTGACGTTCCCCACCGTCTCCCCACCACCGTCTCCAGCAACGAGCACTGCAGGGAGCCTGCCCAGCCGCAGCTCACCCCACCCCCCGGGGGGCGTGCCTGCTCCCTGGTAATTTCACTGCCCCCTGATCCCCGATGACCTGCAGCTCTCTGTGGCATTCTGGGGAGGGTTTCTCTATTTTGCTCATCACTGGTGTGTATGATCTGGGATCTCACGTCTTCAGGAGAATCCTGAGTTCCCCTCTTTTTCTGTGCTTGTCTTTGTATCCTGTTATCTAAATTGGAACCCACTTCCTATTCTGGCTACTAACTTCTCTTTGTGTGTGCATGTGTGTGCATGTGTGTGTGTGTGTGTGTATGTATATATATTTGCATGTCTGTGTGTATGTGTGTGAGTGGTGTGTGCGTGTGTGTCTGTGTGCACGTGCACTTTCCAGGGCTGCTCACTCTGGGTTACTGCCCTCTGCACCATTTGATCTCTGAGTGCGGCCTGGAGACGCACAGCCTGTCCCAGTACGTCGGCTGCTCTCTCAGGCCCCTCTGCTCCTCTGACCTGGTGGGTCTCCTTCCCGCAGGGCCGGGTTCCGGGGCTCGCGTCTTTGGGGCCCTGCTGAGTGTTCCTCGCTGTGGCCCCCCCCCTACCCGGCAACACGTGCGAGGCACTGTCGTGCTCTCTGTGGCTGGAGCCAGCCTCACGGCTTCGCCTCCTCATCTCAGGCACCTTTCCTCATCGCGCTGGGCTCGTGCAGTGCTTGTCACACTGTTGGTTATCTGGAAGGAGTTCCTGCACTGATTATTCATTTTTAATCTGATTTTTTCCGCTTGACATTTTGTGGCTGACTTGGAACACCGTGAACTAGCTTGTGTTCAGGCGGGGACGCTGGGTCAACACACGCTCTCCTCTCTCTGTCACCGTGCCACCACTGTCTGTCCGGAGGCCCTGACGTGGCCTCCACCTCCCCCCCTGCCTGGGCATCCCTTTTGCTGCCCCACGGAGGGGATCACAGATGGCTGCCACCTCGGGGGATGGCTCGTCCCCGATCAGCCTCGGAGGCCGCATCCAATCCCTCATCTTCCTGGGCTGAGGCCTCGCCTCCACGCAGGCTGTGCTCCCCTTCCATCCCGTGGGCATCCTTCATCTGCCTTGGCTGTCCCTGTTCACGCCTGTGCTATCAGGCTCTGTATGGGGCTGAGAGGTACCAGTAGGTCCCTCTTTTTGATGCTGGGCTGGAGGTTGAAGAGCTGCCCTGGAATGCGGGGGGCACACAGAGACCTCAGCCCACGGTGCTCTGATGCAGCCTGCACCCCTGGCTGCCCGCAAGCATGCAAGACCAGCCGCTGGGACAGGCAGGCACGGAGTCTGCTGGCGCTTTGTGCGGCCCCTCTGTGGCTTCCCTCCCAGACCATTCCTGCAAATCCTTCCCTCTGGGCAGTGGCACTGCCCTGGCGGTCCCTGGGGGCTAGTGGGCGTTGGTCCTCTCTGCTCAGGATAATGGCATTTTATCTGCTCCACTGCAGAACTGGCCCCGGTCTATGGCTGGGAAGGGATAGGTCGATCGTCTGTGCCAAATTCCCCAGAGGACCCTGGCTGGGGGATATAAAGGGCAGTTGTGTCAGGGGCCAGCGCAGCCTCTCTGAGCCCCAGCAAGGGACGCCTGTTGGTAGCTGTGAGCACAGAGCCCTGGAGATGAGGACCCTGTTCCTGACTGTCAGCCTCAGCCTCATCGCTGCCCTGCAGGCCCAGGAGCCCCCAGCCTTGGGGGAGAACACTTTGGATGTGAGGCTCAGATAGGGCAGGAGGGTTGCAGGGGCACGGGGAGAGGCAGAGACACTGGCTGTAGGCCCTGCTTCTGAGGGAACGGTCAGGCAGAGCAAAGGGTCTGTGTTAGAGGGTCCCAGGCACAGAGGGACCTGCCGGGGTGGGGAGCCGGCATCTGGGCAGCTCTGGTGAGGGTGCCCGGCATTTGCTGGGAGGGCAAGGCCTGGGGGTTTGGCTTAAGCCCTGACAGGAGGGAACTCTCCCCAGGTGTCAGGGAAATGGTATATGAAGGCCATGACTTCAGACCAGGACATTCCTGGGAAGAAGCCAGACTTGGTGACCCCCATGACCCTCACGGTCCTGGAGGGGGGTAACCTGGAGGCTGCAATCACCATGCTGTGAGTGTCTGCCCACCAGGCGGCCTGCAATCTCCTGTGGCCTCCCCTCCCCACACCAGGAGAGCCAGCGTCTGGGTGGGGTGGGCAGACTGCCCTGTGTCCTTCTGGGCCCTCCTAATATACTCAGCACTGGGCGGCTTTGAGGGGACACCCCACGGAGGGGGCTGCAGGGAGGGGCTCCAGGGGCAGGGGCATCCCTGGGGGCACTGTGCCCTATAGCTGCTCCAGGTGGGGCGCTGTTGCCAGGCTTGGCATGCTGCCAATGTGGGCACCCAGGCAGTGTCCAGTGGCCTCTGTATTCCAGGATAGATGGTCAGTGCCAGGAGCTAAAACTGGTCCTGGAGAAAACCAGCGAATCTGGCAAATACTTGGCCTGTGAGTCCCATGGAGCCTCAGCAGGTGGCGCCGTGCACACGCTGGGACGGCAGGGGGTGGGGGCAGCTGGTGCAGCTCTGGGGTGGCCTTTTAACCTGTGAATCTCCCCTCCTTTCTCACCTCACTAAATGCCGCCTCGCATTGGTCAGTGTGCTTTCAGGATATGCACAGCTGATGCCAAGTGTGATGGCTTCGTTCCCTGAAGGGGCTGGCCTGCCTGGGGGGCTCCCGTGGGAGGGCTGTGCCCACATGGGGGCGGGGAGCAGTGGCATCTGGTGTTGGGAGCTGAGCACCCCATGCCCTACCTCCTCGCACCCCACACCCTGAAGCCACTCTGAGACCCGCAGGTTGGGGATGTGGGGCCCTCCTGGTGTGGGGCCTGCAGCCGGGGGCTCAGCCCAGCAGGGATGGGGGGGCACGGCGGCTGTGCTGCTGGGGCTCCGGATAGGCTCTAATCTTTCTGGAGGGTCCTGCTTCAAGACGGTGCCGCTGCCCCTCCACAGATGGGGGCAAGCGTGTGGTGTACATCAGGCCGTCGCGTGTGGAGGGCCACTACATTCTCTACTGTGAGGGCGAGCTCCATGGCAAGCAGGTCCGGATGGCGAAGCTCGTGGGTGAGGCTCCGGCCCCAGAGCCTGCAACCATCTGCCCGGCCCCACCCTCGCTCCCACCTTCCCCCGAGAACCCCCCCTCACTGGGATTCCTGAAGGAAGCTCCCCGCTGCCTGGTGATTTCCAGTCTAGGTCTCAGCTGTGGGGGCACAGGAAGAGCAGAGGACACTGTGGCACAGGGAACATGTGTTGTATCTCAAGTGTCATAGGGCCACCCATGTGACTCGTGGGAGTGGATCCTTGCAATGTCACCCACAGCACTGTGCCTTTGGGGGTGCACTGGGGAGCCCACCTGGGAGGGGCACTCCAGCTTCTGGGGCTTCATTTGGGGGAGGTGGCTCAAGGGGGCGTCCTCAGTGCCACCCTGGCCTGAAGACAGGCCCCCGAGAGGGTCTCCTGAGGGCCGGCTGGGCCAGGAGCTGCGAGAACAGCCCCCAGCGGGGGCCCAGGCCCTGGGAGGGGATCTGCCTCTGCAGCAGGGAGGGATCTGCGGCCTGTCCTGCCCAGAGAGAAGCCAGGTGCTCGGCCCCCGGCTGTGCTGCACAGGCTGCTTGCCAGATGCTCACAGCTGCCCGGCTCTCCCTCCAGCCGAGGGGCCTCCGGGTCCACGCCCCACGGGTGCCAGCGCCTGCCCAGGCTTGGGGGTGCCAGCAGTCCTCAGTTCTGCCTCTCACCCTGTGTCTCTCGGCTCCACCCACAGGAAGAGACCCAGAGAACAACCAGGAGGCCTTGCAGGATTTTAAGGAGATTGCAAGAGCCAGGGGATTGGCCTTAGAGATCTTCATCCCCCACCAAAGTGGTAGGAGGGCCTTGCCTGGTTCTTCCCCATGCCCTCATGCTGGCACAGCCAGCAGAGTGGCATCTTACGAGAACAACCACATCTGACTTTGTCACTGTGCTTCTGGGATCGTGTGAAACGGTCAATGAACAGGGCCTGGGGCCCCAACTGGAACCTTGGGGTTTACTGAATCCCATGTGTTTCCTTTTCTACAGAAACCTGCCCTCCTTGAAGAGGTTGGGGTAAGTGAACAGTTGTAGAGGCACAGGACAAAGTGAGTCTCGAGGTCAGTGGGGCTTTGGAAGGCCGTATGGTCCCCTGCCCTCACCCCCACCTGGGCAGGAGGCCCCACCAGGCAGGTGGGGTTTCTGCTCCCGGAGTCACTGGCACACAGTGTCTCCTTAGCTTAGGTCTAGGAGTGTAAGTCCCCACGCAGTCAGGAAGCCCACTTCGGGTGAGTGACTGTGGGTTCGGTGTGAGTGGGGAGCGTCTCCACCTGGCTCCCAGAGTGCTTGCTGGCAGGCGTGAAGCCCCCTTCACCCAGAACAGTTGTGGCAACTCTTTACCCAGTGAGTTGCTTCAGAGTCAGGAACACAGCAGCCACGGGCGGATGCTTCAGATCTCTGGGGTCTGTCCCCCTGCGGATCCTTCTGGAAACTGGAGTTTGAGTTTCAGCAGCTCGTCCACGGTCACCTGCCCAGGTGCTCGCAGAGCCGTCCACTGGCCTGGAGCCGCCTGCCGCACCTCTGCAAGTGGGCTTGGAGCCTGTGGGCAGCGCAGAGGTCCCCTTCTGCAGAGGTCCCCTTCTGTCTTCTTAGAGGTTCCCAGAGCGCACACCTGCACCCCCACTGCGGCCCCCTATCCTCTGGCTGCAGCCTCACTGACCCCTCCTCCCCAGGACAGGGCACCATGGCCCCCCAGCAGCCCTGGCGGCCCCACAGGGACCCTCTGTCCTGCAGGACGTGGAAGGAGCCTGGGCCCGTGCACCCCTCTCGCCCTCCCCCCCCTCTCCTGGCTCCTCATAAAGAGCTTCAGCATCCCTGCTGCCTCTGTGTGTCTGTGGGGCCCTCGGGTGGGCTGAGAATGGGGAGCCACTGGGCAAGCCAGGGCAGGGAAGAGGGGGGAGCCCAGGGGTGCTCTAGCTCTCTGTGTGGGTGTGGCAAATGGTGGGAGGGGGACCCAGCCCAGCCTCCCTGGAGACAGTGGGTGTATGGGCTCCCCCTGTGCAGGTCAAGGCCCACAGTCGCTGGTGGGGAGCAGCCAGCATTCCGGGCTTCTCCTGGACACAGCAGACCCCAAGTGCAGACTGCTGGGGCTTGGGCAGGCAACCCTGGGCGGGGGTCCCTGCAGCAGCACCAGCGCCCCCCTGGGGTTGGGGGCCAGGCCGTCCCAGGCCTCACCAGCCTCGGCTTCACATGTTCTGTAGAGACAGTGCTGACCCTGCAAAGAGGCCAGACCCTCCAGCCAGACACCTGTAGGGGTCCTGGTGGCCGCCTGAGCCTCAGGACTCCTGGGCCCTGCCCCGTGGGTCTGCCTCACTCGGATCTACCCCTCAGTGGGCCATGGCATGACATGGCTGCCCCCAGGGGGCTGCGCAGGGCGAGGCTGCAGGCTGGCGGGGGCCTGGGCCCAGGGTCCCTTGTGGCTGCAGGCTAAGACTAGGGTGGGGGTGCTGAGGTCTGACAGGGGACTACCCTGGGCAGATCGAGCCCCAGGCTTCTGGAGAAACAGGTCCAAGCTGGGGGTCCCCACACCCACTTCCTGGGCCTCTATGCAGCTATCCTTGGGGTTCATCTTCCTGGGGAGGGGGCAGCAGAGGCCCTGAGGGAGACACTTCCTCTGTGGGGAGCCCAGCCCAGCACCTGTCCAGCACTGTCCACTCCCCACACTGGCCCTGCCTGGAGGTGTCCCGGTGCCAGGCCTGTGCTGAGCAGTGGACTGTGGGGTGGGGGCACTGCACCCGGATGGCCCTGGTGTCCTGGGAGGTTGGTCATGCACGAGGTGGGGCAGAATCAGCAGGATCTTAACAGAGTCCTGCAAACCTCATTTCCGAGGGGGTGACCCGGAGGCCTGGAAATGGCAGATGGTCCAGGGGCAGCTCTGTCCTCCCTGACGCCAGACCACTGCATTGGTCTCTACCCTGCCCTGGTTGTGGGCTGGAGACCCGGGACTGGCCCTAAAACAAAACCAGCCCCCACGGGCGCGGGTCAGAGGGGCCAGCCATGGTGCCCCGAGCAGCGTGTGCACACGCAGTGCGGGGGGAGTGAGCCGTGGGCCGCCCCGTGGAGGCCGTCTTCCTGCTGACCCGCTGTCGGCCCTCCTGCTCCTGGGGTTGGTCCTCATCTAGGCTCTGCTGGGTCCCCTGGGAAGCAGCCACTGAGAAGGCGGGGTCGGGGGGAGGAAGCCGAATGGGGCCACAGGCCCGCAGAGGAGCCTGGCTGGCCTGGAGGGGCAGAGAGCCCGAGCCGGCTCCTCCTCCCCAAGCCGCCGAGCCCCATCCCTGGTACGGCCTCTGGGGGCCCCGGCCAGCTCAGGGGTGGCTCTCACCTGGAGGGGCTCTGAGCGGAGGCCCGCGTGGATGCCCACCCCCCCGTCACATCTTGTGCACACAGGGGCCTGGCTGGCCGGGATGGGTGGACAGCCCGGCCCAGCACGTCCTCCCATGACCCTCTCTTGGCCGTGACCCTAACATGCTCATCGGTTTTGGGGATTAGGAGCTGGACATCTTGGATGGAGGGGGAATTATTCTGCTTCTCCCTTGAAATAAAATGAATTTCTAGAAAATAGAAATGGAAAAAGGCTGCTCGTTACCAGCCCTCTTTCCTTGTGCTACGAGGCCTGTCAGACGTGAGTCACGGCAGACTGCTGCCAGGTTCCCGGGAGCTGCCCTTTCCCGGCCAGGAGGGACCCCAGGAGCCACGTTTCTCTGCTGTTTCTCAGCCAGAGGGGCTGCTGGGTGACATGCTTCCTCCAGATAAGGCTTCTCAGAAGGGATCAAACCCGAGTGCAGTGATGGCTAATTACACAAGGTCAAGAATGTCCATCCGGGGATCCGAACAAAACAAGTTACTCATCCCCTGCACTGCAAAACGGGGGCCTTCCTGAGGGCGACAGCGAGTGGGACCCGTCTTAGGGCGGCCAGAGCGGGGACAAATGGGCGCTGGGCTGCTGGGACACAAGTTGCTGAAGCCGCACTCCGGGCCGTGCCGCTGCCCCCCTGACAGCTGCGCTCAGCCTGTGTCCCGGCCACAAACCGAGAAGCCCCAGCTCACGCCTGCCCAGCCTCCCGAGGTGAGAGCCTTTGGGAGGGATGGCCGCGGCACCCCTGCTTCCCACGTCAGCTCCTGGACTGGGTGGGGGTCTCAGTCCTGTCCTGCCCAGCCCCAGGCGGACTTGGGCCAGAGTCCCCTCTGTGTCTTCTGTGCTGTGTCCAGGCAGAGGAGGGGGCAGAGGTGCCAGGCAACCTCCCTCCCCGCTGATGCGTGAGGATGCCCGTGCCCCACCCCCAGCTTGTAGGACTCTGGTACATAAAGCACTGGGCAGAGCACATGCCGCTCCCCAAGGAGAAGAGGGGCCACGGGCTGCCTCCCTTCAGCTTCGTGATAAACAGTTTCGGCAAGCTGGAATCAGGGGGAACCTCACATAAGCACGTCCTGGGGGCCTCGGTGCTGCCTCCAGCCCTGACCCGCAGGTGGGAAGCGGGCTCTGCAGCTGTCAGGTCTCACGCCAGCTCTGTGCTGAGCGGCACTCCTTCTGCAGCATTGCTAGCTCTCCAAGGCCTCACTGCCACAACGTCCGTGGTAACAGTGCCGACACCAGCCTGATGCCAGGTGAGCGCAGGACACAAGCACCCATCCAGGCTGGGCAAGCTTCTCAGACTGGCTTCAGCAGCACTTCCTGAAGCAGGCCCTGCTCAGAAGAGGGGCTGCAGACCCAGGAGGCCCCAACAATACCAGAGAGAGGGAAGTAGGACGGCCAGACCCCGACTGGCTGAGGTGCAGAGGGAGGCGGGCTGCCCAAGCTTTGGGTCATCTGGACCCGGCCTCAGAGGAGGCACTGGGAAGGGGGCAGAGGCCGAGGGGTCCTGCCTGAGCCCTCTGGCCACCCCGTGAGGCCTGGACATGCAAGGTGCCACCGCCCCCCTGCTGCAGGCAGCTTGTCTGCACGGACCTCTCCTGGCCCCCAGCCTGACGGTGTGTGGAGGCTGCGGGGCCACGCAGGAACAAGACAGTAGCAGGGCCCTCACGGTCTTCAAGGAGCATAGTCGACAGAGTGTGTGGCCATGCCCAGACCAAGGGTGCTCACACTGGGGACAGGGGTGTGAGGGGCGGGTCTGCAGTGTGGTGGCACCCTAGTGCGGAATAGACGGCCACCTGCGGGCACAATGTCCACTTCGTGCGTGGAGCTCTCTGGCCACTGGCTGGCCCACCCCCCAGGACACAGCTGTCCTCTGTGCTGGCTCTGAGCTGTCAGTGTCCAGAGCCCAACCCAGGAAGTGTTCCTGATTCTGGTGGCCAACCAACCAGGAACTTGCACCCCAGCCCCTTCCCTCTGGCCCTACCAGGAAGGGTCCGGGCCCCAGGGACACAGAGGACCTTCCTGTTCCGACTCAGAAGGAAGTCAGCGACTGTCCCAGAAAGAGGGCTGCATGCTGTGCTGGAAGGTGACGTCCTCCTGTTCCTGAACATGAGCCTCAGGCAACTCGGGGAACCGCGTGGTGGGGGTCCCAGCGGCGCTGGCTCGCCGGCCCCGCCAGCCCTCCTCCTCCATACGGCCGAGCCCCCGCCCGCCTCCCCACTCCTCTGAGCTCAGAGGGGCAACCGCAGCTGCAGCCATGACGTGCCTCCTGCTCGCCCTGGGCATGGCCCTCCTGCGTGGCACGCGGGCCGCCGACGTCCCCAGACCATGGGGAGCCTGGACCTAACAAAGGTGTGGTGTGGCTGGGTCAGGGTGGTCTGAGAGAGGGCAGGGAAGCCTGGACCTCAGAACCTAAAGGGAAGGCAAAGTGAGGCCTTCATGTGGGGGACACCTTTGTCCCCCCAAAGGTTGGAGGGACTTGTCCAGCTCGAGCCACCTGAACTCCAAATATCCTCGTTCTCTCAGTCCTGGGAGTTGCCTACCCAGCTGCACCCTGAATGGGAGCCGCCTTAGGACAGGCTGGGGTTCAGAAGGCAGCTGTACCAAGTCCACGAGAACACCCCCAGGACTGGCACAGGGCGGGTGTCCTGGATTCTGGCACAGCACACGCTATACACCATCTGAGAAACCCAGGCGACAGGAGTCCCCACCCGGCTGGACGGGGCGGGCGGAGCATCCTCTGTGGGCCTGGACCCCCTCCTGCCCCCAAGTGCAGCTGAAGGCTCCCCTCCCCACCAGGTGGCCGGGACCTGGCACTCCATGGCCATGGCGGCCAGTGACATCTCCCTCCTGGACTCTGCTAGCACCCCCCTGAGAATGTACGTCCAGGAGCTGAGACCCACCCCTGAGGACAACCTGGAGATCCTCACGAGCCAACGGTGGGTGTGCCGAGGGCCCCCCACAAGGGCCTGGCTCCAGGGCAGGCGGGCAGACAGGCAGGCGGGCAGGCGGGCAGGCGGGGCAGGGCTCCTGAGGGGCCCTGTGGGCAGGCACCGTGCCCCAGGTGTGGGGAGGAGGTTCAGAGGTTCCCAGTCCTCTTAGAGGCCCCTCCCAGGGCTCTGGGCCCACTGGGTGACACCACAGCACAGCCCCGGGGCCAGTGTGTGGAGAGGCCTAGAGGCCTGAGTGGGGGCGGGTGGCCAGCTGCAGGCTGGGGCCCTTGGTTGGCCCCTGGAGTGGGGGCCTAGGGCCAAGGAATCCTGAGGGCATCTGTGATGACAATCTTGGAAGCGCAGCAACCAGGTGCCACGTAGGCAGGGTCAGTTTTGAGCTCAGCCACCAGCCAGCTTGCCTGCCAGGTTTCCTGGCTGGTCTGTCTGCCCCACTGTCAGCTGGCCCGAGTCACGTGCTCAGGGCCTCAAGAGCTGCCTACATCCAGGCCAGCACCTGTGACATTGCTCCTGGCCAGCCAAGGCCAGCTGGGCTGAGTTCCCGGGCCCTGTGGACACTCCCCAGAGCCCTGCTCTGGGCCCATGAGCCACCCCGGCACTCTGGCTTTCCAGGGAGAACCACCTGTGTGTGCGGAGGAGCATCACGGCCCGGAGGACTGAGGACCCGGCTGTGTTCGCAGTGGCCTGTGAGTGCCCCGCCCCATGCCTGCGGGCAGCCTGGCCAGCTCCCCTCCCTCTTGCAGCCCCAGCAGGGAGCTACCCCCGCTGGGTCCACCCAGAGCCACTCCGCACTGCACCTGGCGGCAGGGGAGGGTCAGACGTTTGACTCCCACCCCTATGGCGCGGTGGCTGGTGAGGCCTCGGGCTCCCCTCTGGCCTGGCTCCCGCACTCCCTCCTGGGACAGGAAGAGAGGGGCAGCATCACCCACCAGGACGCCCAGGCTGCCAGGCAGGCGTGGGTCGGCGGAGGGTCATGCTCCGAGGACAGGCCCGTGGCAACGTCCCTGCTCAGGGACCGGTGGCCGGAGTGTCCTTAAGAATACCCATGAACCAGACCTGGGAGAAGGCCCCCTGGGAACAGCGGGAGCGTCCTGGCCCAGACCTCCCGTGCCCTGCCCGGCACTGCCCTGGGCCTGGCGGCTTCCGTGCTGCCTTTGGCCTCATCTGGGACAGTCCCCTGGGCCTGTCCCCCAGGTGCCAGCCCTCGCCTCCCTCCAGGGCCCACCTGCCCCTCCTGCCTCCGTTCCGGCCACACCCTTTCCTCTAACAGGCAGTGGCTGTGTGTGGGCCCAGTCTCTACCCCAGAACCAGCCTGGTCGCATCTGGGCCCGGCAGCCCAGGCGGCCACCCAGCCCTGCCCCGCGCCCCCCGCTGCTCCCCTGGGAGTTCACCTGCAGGAATCCCATCTACCTGACAAGCTGGCGGGAGCCTCCGAAGCCAGGCAGTGCCCAGCGGGGAGCTGCCCAACTGGCCCCCATCGCCCTGCTCCAAACCCAGCCAGGCTGTGGCCCTGCAGCTTCGGCATGTGCACACGTCCCCGTCCCCACCTCTGAAGATCAGAGGCGTCACTACCCTGCCCCTGCAAACTATCCTGCTCTTTGACGCCCAGCACGGCCCAGGCTCCAGCGGGCTCCAGTCCCCAGTTACCCTGCCTGCTCCCTGGGCCGGGCACTGCTGTGGGGTCACCTGGGATTTAGGGCCCGAGCATGTGGATGAATAACTGAATGAATTCTGCCACATCCAGGATGGGGGGGTGTAGGGTGGGGCCAAGTGTGGGCGGGACTGGTCTCCCCAGGTGTGCTGCCTGGGCTCCCCCCGGGGGGCCATGAGCCAGTGCTGTTGGAGGCAGACTCCGGGAGGCAGCCCCAAAAGCAAGCGACAGGTCATGCAGAGGCCTGGGAGGCTGCAGGGAGAGGCGGCCTGGCTGTGGGGGAGGCTGGGAGGGGCCCTCAGCTGAGACCAGCTCTCTGTTTCGGCCTGTTTCCCAGATGAGGGGGAAAGAAAGATTTCCGTGCTGGACACAGATTACACGGACTACATGTTCTTCTGCATGGACGCCAAGGAGCCCACGGCTGAGCAAGGCACGGTGTGCCAGTACCTGGGTGCGTAGCTGAGCCCCCTGCAGGGCCGTGTCTGACAGGGCGCCTCTTGGTCACAAGGAGCACCGGGGGCTTCCCTGGGCGGTGGGAGGGTGGGGAGGGCCTGCCTCGCCAGCTGCTGTGAGCCACCTTAGCAAAGGTCATAGGGCACGGCCTCGGGCGCCAGTGGTGTTCTGATGTGGTGACCGGGGACAGGCCAGGAGCGAAGTGGAGGACAAGGGGATTTGCCTCCACGCAGAGGGGCCACACTCGCCAGTGGGGAGAACTGGTCAGCACTGACCCAACCATCTTGGAGGCTTTCCATGACTTCAAAATCATTTCAGATAAGAGAGCACCTTTAAAGGGTGATATTCTGATGGCAGTTAATGTACTGGCTCCATGTCGTGTCCGTTCTCAGGTGCCCCCATGGCTGCCGAGTGCCCAGGGCCCGGGGCGGGGGCCCACTCCCTGGTTCATAGAGCAGCCGGGGGGTACATGGGTGGGGGTGGGTTTGCCTTTCTGCGTAGACTTCTCCAGGGGCCGACCAGGGGCCCCAGCCTGCAGCTGGTCAGGAGAGGAGGGGCAGGGACTCCCGGGGGCGCTGAGCCCTGACACCACCCTGGAAGCTGGGCCAGGCTAAGCTCTGCCGGCCTCAGGACTCTGTCATGTCCTTCCGGTGCTGGCTCCCCGGGCAGGGTCCTTAGGTCCCCGAGCTCTCAGCCCAAGGACTGACCCATTGCCCCCACAGCCAGGACCCTGAAGGTCGACAACAAGGTCATGGAGAAGTTCCACAGAATTATCCAGACCCTGCCTGTGCACATGCGCATCATCCTGGACCTGACCCAGGGCAGAGGTGAGCTCTGGCCCCCGAGGCCCCTCCTCGCGGGGGCCCCTCCTCAGCCTGCGGAGAAGCAGAGGCTACCAGAACGGGTGCTGTGGGATACAGGCAGCATCTTACCTCATTTGTGGTCCCAATTTTCCTAGGAGGCGGGTGGAGGGCTGCAGAGCCCCTGGGGGCTCCCTCCCGACCCTGGGCCAGGGACTGTGGTGGCCACCTTGTGACTCTTCCTCCCCTTTTCCCCCCACAGAGCAGTGCCGCGTCTAGGTGAGCACCTGCCCGTCCATCTCCAGAGTAACGTACCAGCCCTGCCCCGCATCCCGGGTGGGGGGCGGCTCCTCGGGACCCCAGACTCTCCTCTGTCCAGTCCCTGGGTCCCCTGTAGGAGCGGCTGGCCCCGTACCCACTCTCTCGAGTGGTCTCTGGGGGTGTTGACCCTGTGTCCTGGCCACACGCACATGCTGACATCCCCACCACTCCTTCTGACAGGGTGTGGACAGAGGCGGAGGCTGAGGAAGGGCTGGCAGGGGGTAACACCACTCAGACAAGGAGGGGGTCAGGGGCTGCCCTCGGGCTGCCCAGGGAGGGGCTGGCGAGGGTCCAACAGGCTCCTCAGAAATCACAGGGGAGCTCCGTCCACTACAGGGCCCGGGAGCCTTGGCCCTCTGCAGAGAGACGACGTCACCCCCTGCCTCCCCGTCAGAACAATCAGGAGGGACTGAGGCCGAGGTGGCTGCAGGACGTGGCTCCGCCTGGGGGCCAGGCACCTCCAGGCCCCAGCCTGGGGTCTCCTGCTCTGAGCGGTTCCTCCTTCAGCAATAAAGAAGTGACCCTGTGCAGACTCCACCTGGGTCTTTCCTGGCTGATGGGTGTGGGATGGAGCTGAGGGGGCGGCTCAGCAGGGGATGACAAGAGTGGGAAGGTGGTGCGGAGCTCCAGACACAGCCCTGAGCGTGGCGCCCCTCTGTGTGGGGCGGTGGACAGTCTTCCGTCCCCAATCCTCTGTCATCATAGAGTGTGGGGACCTTACTGCTGGTAGGCCATCACACCCAGACAGTCACTTTTCACTTATGTTCCATGAAAAAGAAATGTCTCAGAGGCTTTTAGCTCCTCCTGCCCTCCCAGGAGGTGGGGTTGTCGGAGCTCCAGGGCAGGGAGAGGATGCAGCCTGCGCACAGGTGGACAGGGCCACAGAGCCCGGCAGCCCAGCACAGGGCAGGTGCACCCCCTCCTGGTCCCCACAGGGTGGCAGCTGCGGAGCCCACCTGCTCCCAGCATTTCCACTCCCCGTCCCTCCTTGGTGTGAACACGCCGGCTCCCCTCCTCCCCAAGCCCAGAGGGCTAGCAGCTGGCAACCTGGTTCTGTCCAGTGGGAGGCAGAGCTGCACATGGGCCAGGCTTCCCTGGCTCCTCACCCCCACTCTGAACCTGACACCTGCCCCTCCAAAGGGACAGAGCCGGGTACACCCTCCAGGGACACGGGGCGGGTGGAAGGGAGTAGTGGGCCTTCCTGTAAGGGCCCAGGGTGCGCAGCAGGGGCTGAGGCTGCCCTCCCTACTGTCATGGCTCGCTTGCTGGACTGATGGGCAGTGGGGTGGATGAGGGCACAGGCCACTGCTGGCGTCCAGGGTGAGCCCTGCCCTGTGTCTGTCCTGGGAAGCACAGATGGTGGGAGGAATGGCCCGGAGGGAGCTGCCCTGCAGTCCACACACTGGCGCTGCCTGGCCCACTGGCGCACCGTCTCCCCAGCCTGCAGCTACTGTCCTGCCACCATCACCCATCAGGCCTCAGGTCTGCCCAGACTTCCGGCCCAGCCCTGGGGCACGTGTGAGGTCCCCGTGCTTCCTGTTTGCAGGCCACTTCCCACCAACACTGCTGGCTGGGAACAAGCAAAGCCTGAGAGGCTGAGTTTGAGCGCCAGAAAGCTCCCTGAAAAGACCCCGGGGAGGTGGGCCTCCACCCCAGCAGGAGGGTCACCCGCCCTGCTCCTCCCTCATCAGCACACTCATCCTCCCCAAAATAACACAATCTGCAGCAAAAGGCGAATCCGACCGGTGGGAAGAGGAGGGCAGACCGGCCAGGGGCCCTGGGGTTGGAGGGGCAGCACCGTGGTAGCCCCCTTTGGGAGGCCCACGCGACCAGGCCACGCGTTTCCTGACGCTGGTCTGGCAACAGGAGGCAGCCCAGGGGCTCCTTCCCTGCCTGGATCTGACAGGTGTCCCTCCACGGCACCGGGGGAGCCCAAAGCCCCAAGGGTCCCTCTAACGATAAGCTGCCAAAGGGTGCGCTCCCTTTCCCAAGCAGGCGGGCCTGGGACGCCGTCCCCATCCCCCAGAGCTTGGCCTCTGCCTGGGAGACCCCGCCTGCCCCGAGTCGTGCCTGCAGGGACCACTGAGCCCCCGCATCCGCACACACCAGGCAGGCAGCAGCCACCCCAACAGAGGCCTGACCATCAGACGGTCACTGGAACCCCAGTCCCCAGAAGTAGGCCAGGTCCCGGGTGCTGAACTCAACAGGGAGACTGCCTGCCACACAAAATACTTCAATAGCACCCAGTCTCCTAACATGACAGGCAAAATGACCAGGAAACAGTAAGACATCACCTGCCAGACCACAACCAAGAGAGTTAACACTTTAAAGGAGAAAAGGCAATGCCTGGAAGATCCCGACATTGGAATTACCTGACAAGGATTTTAAAGCAACTGTGGTAAAAATGTGACTGTGGACACACTTGAAACAAATGAAAACAGAAAATCTTGGCAAAGAAATACAAGTTATGGAAAAAAGCCAAATGGGAGTCCGAGAACTAAAAGCGCAGTAAGAGCAATGGGTCCCCTGGATGGGCTCGGTGGCAGAGCGGGACGACAAGTCCAAAGACACTGGCAGGTCGGGCGGGAAGGACGGAAGAGCGCAGGCCGTGCAGACATTAGCAGAGAGGGCAGAGGCGGCTGACTTCACAGCCAA